TTAATTATGTTGCAACATAAATTGGAGATGGGGAAGCTCCACATGGGGAGCTTCAAATTATGCATGCATAATTTTAAGTTACTCCGGCCGGTGTGGAGTTTCCGACTGTCCATGGACCTTCCGACTGTCCATGGACCTTCCGACTGTCCATGGACCTTCCGACTGTCCTTGGTCTTCCACTCACTCTCCCACACGCGCACCGATCGTCCTATTCAAAAGAATTCTCGGAAATACTCTAGAAAGAATTCTCAGAAAAATTCCTGATAAGAATTCTCAGAAAAATTCCTGATAAGAATTCTCAGAAAAGTTAACAAAAAAAAAGTTACAGACATACATACATACATACAGACATACATACAGACAGGGTTGAAAGGCGACGGAAAAATGGAAGTCCATTTTTTCCACTTTTCTCGACATGTCATGCTATTTTAAGCATATTTAAGCAAAAAAAATTTTCCAAAAAAAAATGTCGAATACAATACGGTGACCTCACCAAAGGTGGGCCTCCGTAATGGAAAGCTTTTTCTGTTAAAACAGACACAGAAGTTCTATGACAGAAGTTTCATAAATATGCTTATGGAATTAAATTAAATAAAGAGAACCAAAAAGCCAAAACGAGCCACTTGATCCTACCAGCTTAGAGACGAATTTATATTTACATTTGCATTTTCAAATTTATAGTTCTGCGATGGAAAAGCGGAAAAATTGCATGCACAACAACAGTGGAAGGAAAAAATATTTAAAATTATATCTCGGAACCACTTGAATGAATGAGGAAAAGTTCATTCGATGTAAACATTTTTCCGAACAACATTTTGTGCTTTAAAAGTTGTTTAAAATTAATTAAGATTAAAAACCTTTCATTCTCTTCCTTTGCTTAACATTTTCTCAATCTTAAGTTTGACGTTTGAGATCATAAATTGCACAGAGTTGTAATTTTAATCTGTTTAAGTCATTAAAATTTAAATACAAAATGTTCCAAAGTTGATGAAAAACATCGCCAATGATTTATTGATTTTCGATTACATTTTATCATTTATTTTAAACATGAAATAATCAGCTTAGAAACTTTTGATGTTTTTATACAACAAATGAGAGAAAAAAACAACTCTGATCATTTTAGGTAAAACTGAGCGTGAAAAGACGAAATTTCTGTAAACATTTTCAAGCTTTTTGATTTTAGTTGTTTCAACTTCTTAAACTTTCTTTTCCTCCATGCACAATAATTTATTTTACAAGCACAATATTATTTCTCATTGCATAAATCCTTTCTTCAAGCTTTTTATTCTGCAATATTCTAAAATCGCAGCCACAAATTACTTTTTCTTGTTTTCATCGTTGAGGTTTTCTTTTTTTTACATTCTTTGAACAAGCAAAGCATTTTCAAATTGCATTTCGTGGATCTGGTTTTTCGCGGTTCCTTCAGATTTTCTTTTACTTTCTGCACCAGTTGATTTGGCAAAATCAGCTTTTAATAGCTTTTCAGATTTCCTCTGTTTTTTCAATAAACGTTTTCTCTTTCATTTTTCTTTCTCGTAAAACCGGAAAATCATCGAGAGTGAAGGAAAATCATTGTTGTACACGACGTTACTAGAATGCAAATAGCATTTTTAATGGAGAGGCTTCGATCGACTATCACGTTATTTAAATACGCTAAGCACATTCTAGCAAGTACTGTGAGTGAGAAGCGTGAAATAATTTTAATCGCTTTTAGAACGCGGTGAGTATCAACAATGAATCATCACAATAAATATTCTAGATTTTAACACAATTTCACCGAAAAACGATAGAAGCGGGAACGAAGCTCTTTTGTATCCATTCAATGGAAAATCATTTTCCCAACGAAAAAGTATGTTTGTCAATCACGTACGCGGAATATTTTTCATCTCATCGTGAAGGCGAGTTGAGGGTGGAATTTTGTGTAGAAGCTGGCTGGCTACAAACCGTTAAAGCATTATGAAGTCGAGTTGATGATATGAATATTGAGTAAAGGGAGTGATTTGTCGACTCACTCCTAAATATCAAATGCGTGTGTAAATGAATTATGTTAGTAAAGACGAAGAAAAACGGAAATTTTCGTTTTATCATTAATTTTCTCCGACATTCGCAATTCATGAAGTTTGTTTAAGAACGAAGAATATCTGAAAGAAATAAGATCAAATAAAAGTCTATCAAACTCACATCAATCACATATTTACTTACTGACTCTCTTTCCCTCCTTTTCCAATGTTTGTTGCCTCGCATCACTTTACTTCTCCACTTTAAATGGTTATTTGGAGAAAATTTGTTGACACAAAACAAATTCAATCGATTTACAAACAAACGATACATTCAACGACCAGCCATCGAAACGAGAACACAAAATTGAAAAAAATGTGTAATCCAAACTGAATCATGAGACATTTTCTCTATATTACGATATATTTTCTTTCCTGAAATGAAGTCATGATGACGATGTATACAACGTTTTTCAGATGAGTTAACATCAATGTGAGAAAAGCCTACACGTAATCGTTTCAACAAATAAATAGAAAAACATGAAAGATCTCAACAAGGGAAGAAAATTGAACCACATCAAAGCTTCAAAGTGTTTTTCATGACTTTCTCGACGTTATGTCGTGTCGTTAATTATTTTATTTTTATTTTCCTAATAAATATCCTAGATGAAATTATTTAAACATTTCTCAACATGAATTCGAAATGTTTCTAAAATTTGTTGAATATTTCAAACTTTTTGATGTTCATTTATTTGAATACTTTTAAAGTTACATCTGGAATATTTCACAAAATAAAAGTAAACTTTTACATATCTGCCAACAACAAGCTTTTAAAATAGAAGCTTATGCAATGAGAAATTGAAGAACATTTCTTCTGCAACATCAAGCTAAAAGGAAAATTGTTCAGAAGTCCAACAACCAGGAAATATTTAATACATGAAACTGAACACAGAGAAAATATTTGAAATGAAAATAAATGAGACGGGATCAGTTTGCGTGAAGAGTGAGAGGAAAATTCTTTGGAAAATATGTTCAGATGTGTTGTCAAATGAGATCATTAAATCTAGATTTATCTGCGATCAGAGAGTTGTAGCATTCGTCTTTAGCAGTAGCATTAGCGATGCTTCCATCATGCATTCCATGTGTACTTAAATTCACTTGAGAGTTTTCATTATACATGATAAACATTTCAGCATTGCACAAACAACGACGATCCTCTCTAATTGACATTTTATAATTGCTATTTCCCTTGGAAAAACAACTGAGTGACACAAACATTTGAAATTGTTTCTCTACAGAAAATAAACAAATATCAAACACACACTGATGAGAATAGGCATGAGAGCACCCTGAAAACACTTTTAATCACATTACATCTCCTTCACACATCAACAAAGTGCATTAACATCTCAGAGTATGTAAATAAAGTTTTACTTAAAATGAAAATTTTGTGGCTGACATTTTCCAACATTTAAACTCATTTTCACAACTCAGTTCGAATGTCCAATGAATATTCAATTTCATGAAGTGAGGCAGCCTTTTTTGGATGATCGAATCAACAAACAGATAATTCTGACTGAAATCATTCGAGTAAAAGAATGTGCAAGCATTGACAATAAAAGGCGGAAAAGGACTTTAACCCTAATTTGAGTTAATTTCAGTTTTCCCAAGAACACTTTCCTCCTTTTTTCCCTTCCGGGTTCTCCGCCTCACTTTTCCTTTGTGGAATCTTCTTCTGCTGTTATGATACGGTTGCTTCAATTTTTTTTTGTGGTCCATAATGATGATTTGTCAGTTTGTATCCGTCCGTAATTTTCACATGATTCAGTTGAATAAATTGCGACATGAGAAGAAAAACACATAAATAAAATTTCCGGTTTTCTAAATATCAATTTGTGAGTCGCTTTTTACGCTTGGCACACGATACACGTAGATGTTGATGTTCGCTTGTTGTGTGTGCTTTTTTTCTCTTCTTTTTTCATGGGATGCTTGCGAAATTAAGGGTAAATAAGACCCAATAAAAAAAGAGAGAGAAGGTAAAATATAAAGATCATTACAATCCAAAAAAAAGACAGAAGAAGAAGAAGGGAAATTTCATGTTTATCGGCAGCAAATGGTACAAAACATGATATTAAAATCATCACTCGCTTCTTTCTTTAATGATGATGTGTGGTTCATGAACTTTTTTTTATGATTTTTCATCCTTCTTATTGAGAGCGAAATTACATTATCTTTTTCTTATGATGTGATGTTACATAAAAAGACTCTAATTTGCATGATTCCCCGACTTTCTCCTTACTCTTTTTAGATTTCTTCATTCTCTCGTGCGGTTTCAGCAATTTGGCTTTTTTTAAAGTTATCGCATTCTATGCTATGTAGGCCCAAAACCCGGGATGGAATGTCTAAGCAGTTAACCACAAATTTTATTTATGAAGCTCTTAACTGACTGAGACTGAACATCATTGAAGATACAGAGGTTTAAGCTGGTAGAAAAGTCGAGCGTATGAACAAACATGAAATTTACATTTTGTGCATTTATTATGTCAGAGAATTTTCACTTCTTCGTTCACAGCACAACCATTCATATATTTCTTTGATGTTTGTTAACATAAAAAAATGGGGGAAAAAAGCTTCCCATGAAGAAACATATTCATTTTAACGTTGTTGTTATTATGATTAACTTCCCGACATGAGAGTAAAAGAGCCATAAAGATACTAATAGAGAACTCAAAGGGGGTTTCATCTGTATTGCGTAATACTTCTATTTATTGAAATTTCGAACCTCTTTCCTGCCATATTTGCCTTGAACGATCGATTTTGTTTCTCCTAAAAGTCAAATAATGAATTGTAACTTTAATTTTGATTCTTTCTCCCGAGTCAACGACGAGCTTTTTTAAAATTGCTCCACTTAAAAATCAAACTGGTTTTCTTTTTTATTACGACTCATTATTTTGAATGCCGGCAGAATAAATATTTTCATGAAAAACCGTTTGCTTTCAAGTGGAAGCTTCTAACACTTTCCTTAAGTCGTTTTTTATCTTACGTTCTTTGAAAATTTATAAAAATATTCCACATTCAAATATAAAATATCAGTAAGTTTAATTACTTTTACGTGTAGAGAATAAAATAATTGTTTAATTCGATTTATTTAACGTTTAAATTACATAAGAAAATTCATAAGGATGTTTCATAATTCTTTCCAAAAAAATACGAGGATTTATTGTAACTTGTATGTTCTTATCATATTTTCACGCTTTTTATTTCTCTTGCAAGAAGGAAAGGATTGAAATTATAGGAAAAATGTGTCTTCACTGCTATCATTGCTCAAGTGTAGACACAGCCAAGACTCAACCAGGACTTAGTCATGACGCACCAAGGCCACATCCATTAAGGATACAGTCAAGTCAAGTGTAGAACCTGGGTCGATTGTTTACTTGACTGTAAAGTTTTAATTTTTTTATTTTTTCTATACCTAAGGTTCCCAAAATTGTCTGTCATTTCATAGAAAATGTTGAGAACCTTAGGTGTATAAAAAAAATCAATAATGTTTAACAGAAGTTTTTTCTTTCCTCCTTTCTCCTTACAAAGCGATTTTGATTGACAATCTTATTATTTTCTTGTGAAGATTTCTTTATGAGCTGTTTCACATTGCGCAAGTTTTCAACAAACATTCCTACTAATGAAAGCTCTCAGTAAAATTATTTCTTATCATCCATCTTAAAGTTTCATTAAAAATATTCATTTGATTTCATTAACAGCACAAAAAAAATAATATTTTCATTTGCTTTTATAAACGATTCACAAGGAAAAATATTTCTAGAAAATAGATTATTTTTATGTTTTCCTTTTTCTGTCCCTTTTCATATTTTCGGACGAGAAGAAAAACCTTTTTTTCTTCTTCTGTTTTGTTAACATAACTTTTTAATCAGTCAATAAAGGGTACAAATATCTTTGAGTGGAAGGAAAATACTTGAAAGGCAGAAGAAGTTTAATGACAATTTTTCATCTCTTCAACCCATCATCATCTTCCCCCGCCCCAAGAGTGTCTCATTAAATGTACGCAATTCAATTATAATTGTTTTCTAACAATTTATCGACATGGAAAACTCATTTGATTCCATCGCTTTTAATTTCTCTAGACAATTAATGCTGTTTCTTTCTCTCTTAAGTTATTTATGTATTTGAGCGAAGATTAAAATATCGTTGAAACACGTTAGTTAATTTCTAAATATTTTTTGAAGCAGTCTACTATTTAATATTTTTTTGTTTTGTTTCTATCATCAAAAGTTTTGAGAATTTTTAAAGCTTACAAAAGAAATTAAACGAGCTCTAAAATTTTTATAATACCGCGGCTATTCCCGGCAATGATTGTATTCGATGGTTGATTCAATGACTTCTTCCAACATACAGCAGACACGAATTCATTGTCTGACGATGATATTTTATTATCAATATCATATCCACTGTAACGCGGTTGCTGAAGATCAAACTTCAAATTGAATAATTGTTTTGAGAGTCCCTGTAATAAAGCGTTTGATTTAATTTAAGAAAGTTTGATAATTAAAATTTCTTTCATTACCTTATAATAAACACACAATGAATTATCTTCACTTCCACAAGCAATGTAATCTCCATTTGTTGCTAATCCAACAAAGTTTTTCTCGTTAACATGCCCTCCGACAAAAGACCTTACACAAAACGGTGGTTTATTTATTTCCCAAAGTTTCAGTTGACCATCAGTTCCAGCAGAAATGATTTCATGGGTGTTGAGAAACTTTACATAAGAAACCGCTTTTTTATGACCCTGAAAATGAATTTTTAGAATTTTTTCATCGTTTTGATTATAATTTAACTCACTTTGAAGATACACAATGGTTCTTTCAAGCTTCTTAAATCATAATAATGAACACAATGATCAGCACTTCCAAATGCAAGATGACAAGATGATTTTGGATTGAATTTGACACAACAAATGTTTGCTGTTTTAATTTCCAACGTTGCTACTGAATTTTCACAATCAATTGACCATAATTTGACTCTTGCATCATCAGAACCAGAAGCGAGAAGTTTTGTATCAATCTCATTAAAATCAACCGACCAACAACGCTTGTCATGCTCTTGAAAAGTTCGTTTACGTACTCGCGTTTCAACATCGTAGACTGTTACAATTCCTTCATAATCTGATGATGCCAACAACTCTTTATAAAAACTATTCCATGCTACACACGATATTTTACTTGTACATTGCATCTCGTTGATTGGATATCGAATATCAACGACAGCATCTCTTACACATGCATAATAATCGAAAATCTTTATCTTTTTTGTGACTCCAGCAATTGCAAAGTATTCATTGTCTTTATCAAACTCAATTGAACTCACAATAACTGAACTCGTTACATTATTATCATTCGAGTAATTTAGTGTTGACAACGTTCGAAGTTGATTGTACCGACTGAATTTAACGAGGTTTTCTCGGAAAGTTTCAAGAGATTTACATGTTTTTGGTGTCTCTGTTGATGGTGTTTGAATGTTGGTTGTTGTTTCGTTGGTGTCAGTAATCATGAGTTCTTGTTCAGGTAAATCACTCGAACTTTGAAAATGTAAATCCTCATTACGATTTAAATAATAACATTTGACAAAGTCATCAAAATGATGAAACATCTTCTGCTTTCTTAATTTATAAGTCGTCGATTGAGTGATGGATGACGTCGTGGGATTGCTGGACGTTGCATTGCTTTCAGGCAAGGATGAACCAATGTCTGAGATTAATTGCTTCATTTCATCACGAATAGCATTCAATTGACCAGTTTCATTTTTTGTAGCTTCTGAAGAATGTCCAGGCTCTTTTTCGAAATGCTTATCAACATCCTCAATCTTTGGACAGGTACTTTGAACACTCTTCAAAATACCTTCAACAACCTTCATGTCACCTTTAATTAGACGCACTTTTTTATCCAACTCTTTCTGCTGTAACTCAGTCTGCTTCAATAAATGTTCAAGGAATTCATGAAGTAATTTATTTTGTGCTGTGATTGATTCAGCTTCTAGTAGAACCTTTCTTTGAGTGAGAACTTCCAGAATAGAGTTGACGTTGTCCAAAGACAATTTGTCAGATTCCGAAGCTAAAAATGTTTTCAAATTATCAGCAGGATCATTCTCATCTACACTTTGTGATGTTGAGAATAGTTTTTTCTTCTCTTGTTGTTCCAATGTGTATTTGTTAATTAGCTCGTTCAGAAGAAAGTTTGGAAAGGTTTGATCACTTGTAAGTGATTGATTGCATTTTGGACACTTTTTATTTATTTCAATGGATTTTTGAATGCATTTACTACAATACGTATGCCCACAACGTGTTATTGTCGCCTCATTTATTAATTCAAAGCAAACGGGACACGAAAAGTGGGGATTTGGGTTTTTGTTACTTGTCAGCTCCTTATTCATTTTCTTTCTGGGATTTTCACTTAAATTACTTAAATTACCACTTGAGCTTTGCCTTCTTGGCATTATTTACACACTTTTTGTTGTTCTATCATTTGATGACCATAAAGATAACAAAGTTTCGATGAATAAAGGGTAAATTTTGAAAACTTAAACTTTATTTTGATTCTATTTGTCAATAAGTTAGAAAATATTGCAAATCCGAGAAAAACGTAAAAATTTGATTATTTTCTGACCGTTAAATTTTATTAAACTCAAATTTGCATTTTTTTGTAAAATATTTTAATTTTTATAAACTAGAAGATATCATGTAGTTGGTTGCATTATCGTCAAAATATGTCAGATCATCTTGTTTGATTTCTTGTTTGAACATTATATTACGATCTAAACTTCGCTCAGATGGTGGCGTTGGTGCTGGATCTGGTTTCTTTGTCTTTGGTCTTCCAACTGGTCTATGAGGTTTATTAACACTCGATGCATCTGATGAATTTTTTCTCTTTTTGTATTTCGATTCATTACTTTGTTGAATCAAATCAATCGTTGAAGGTTCATGCTCAATAAGCTTTCTCAACAGAAACTCTCTTTCCTGTTTTACTTTATCAATGTTGTTCTGGATATCAGCGATATGATCACATAGTGATGAGTTCTCCTAAAACACAAATATTATTTCATTCAATTTTAGTTATTAATGTAGAATTTTTGATTGAATTTTAATGGATATTCATATCAAAAAAAAATCTACGAAGTTTTACTATTTACTTACAATTACGAGATTTTTTATAGCTTTTTTGATCTTACGAAGCTTCCGTTCATAATTCTGCATAATAATATTGTTTAATGATAAGATATTTTATTACTTTTTAGAGTTTAATCCGAAATTTTTCAAAAGTTCTGTTTTAGCAAATTGTAAACAAACAAAAGCGTTTCTAAAACTTCAGAATGTGTTCAGTAAAAAAATTCAAATTTAGCCGTTTCTTGAAATGTTCATTACTTGATGAATTCTGAAAGAAATATTAAAAACAAAGAAACCACAATTTAATTTAGTTTTAAAAAGAATTTTTATTCCACTGTTCATAAGTTTGTTTTTTTTTCGAATATCGATGATATAACTACGAATCATTCTATGCTATCACAGCGTTGTCTTCAAAATTTTCAATTTAAAAAGACTTCTCGACAAGTTTGATTTTTTCTTTCAATTATTTTTCTCCTCAATGAAAGCGATGTTTGTGACTTCACATAACTTTAATAAATTTTGAGCAATTTTACAACATTATCAGTAGAGCATTAATTAAGCGTTTTGCTATAAAATTAAGTGCTTAAAAGTCGAGTCTTGAGCTCACAATTATGTTTATAATTATAAAGGAAATCAAATTTCATTAACATCTTAACATTGTGCATGCTTATTTATGGCATTAATTTTATCTTTGATATCTTTAAGAATTCTTATGAAAGCTAAGCCTTATATCGCAATATCTTAAAGGGATTAATTTCATTTTCATTTAGATAAACTTCTGAATCAAGAAATGAAGGGTAAATTCATATTTTGCATTCTTCAACCATCAAAATGTTAACTTTCCGAGATAAACTGATATTGATAACTATTACCTACAAGTAAAATATTTCAAACAGCTATCAAAATAAAAATAGAAATCCTTTCAAATTGCAATAATCTTATGATATTTGGTGGCACATTTTTCATTTGGAGAAGGTGAGCACATGAACTTAAGCTAAAGCAAAGTAATTTATGTAAATAAGTATTCTTAACTTGAAATTAAAACAAAAGAAAACGAAATAAAGAAAATCATAATTCTGAGATTATCGGCTACTGACTCTTTCCGTTTGAATTTCCATTGCGATGTCCTTCTAAATAGAATGTCGCATTAAATTTCATTGATAACACATACACAACAGCCTCATAAGTTGCCATCATGATGGCGGTATTTGGAATCTGACGTACGAGTTGGGTCGCCAAGCCTCGATATAATCCCGCTTTACCTTCCTCCTTCCACACTAAGAAAAGTGTTTGCCAGAAGCGATGGTACTTGCTACCTTCTTCACGTAATCTTGTTCTAGCGACTTCATGAGGATAAGCAATGCAAGACGCAATTGTCTTTGATGTTGCCCCAGCTAACATAAATTCAACAAAATCACGAGTTGATTTGCCATCTTCGGGACGTTTTTGGCGCATCTCAACCTACAATAAAAAATCGACATTCAATTAAATGTTTGTTTTCAATTGCGATTGATCAAACTAACTCACCAATTTCTTTTTAAGCGCTTCATAAATCACGAAATGTACGACAGTCTCAGATATTCCAAAGTAGCTTGCAGTGATTCCTTTGTAGAATCCTCGAAGTCCATTTTTTTGGTAGATTCGTTTGATGCATTCTCTTACATTCATTTTACTGTTTGAATCATGATCTAATTGAAGGCGTGTCTTCACAAACCAAATTGGATTTGTGGCGGTTGATGAAACAAATCCAGCACATGAAGCACTTAAAATGTGCGAGAATGGTGAGTCAGTTGGAAAAATTCTACAACACATAAATAAATTGAAGATTGGATAAAATGCTTAAATTATTTCAGTTGATTAAATTTTCTCACCCGAATGAGCTTAAAGCTCCCTTGGTTTGACTGTAGGTACAAAAATAAATAGCTCTTGATGGTGCAACACCAACAATATTTGGTCCAAGCCCTTTAAACAATGCACGCGATCCTTCATTCTGAACAATATGTCGTAGACATTGAAGAATGCTCATCGACTTGGGTGCTGATGAAATTCCGCAATGAGAAATGGCATAAACCTGAAAAAATTAAATCAAAACAGTTCATTGATTATGTAGTCATTTTCTATTCTTCTTCTCTTCCAACATTTTAGGTAATTATTTAAGGATGAGAGATAATCGCGAAATATTTTGATATCTTGCCAATGTTTTGTCGCTTCACTTTATTATGGACTTTGACTGTGAGATTTACGAATTAAATTTTGATTCCTTTTGAGTAATTGGAATCGCATTTCTCGATGTCAAATGATAAAACTTTTTGTTTATTTTTATAACGTTAAGACAATCCACAAATTTATGCGCAAAAAAAATCATTTTAAAGCTGTGGAAATTTTTGCAAACGTTTTTCGAATATCTAATCTTTGGTTACCTAATTGTGTGGGTGGTGGGCACACTTCAAAAGTGGAATGTTTATTCTTGTGTTTCATTTAAAGTAAACGAGAGAAATGTTTCCGAAGCCAGTGATAACAGGTTCACTTGATCAAACAGTTAATACGATGGATCTATTTGTGAAAAGTTGTTGAATGGGGGTTTAAAGATAAGATAAAAGTGTGTTGGGAGTCTCTCGAAATATTCAATATCCCATCAACACACACACGCTTTGCAATGCAAGATTACTATTCAAGTTTATCTTGAAATGGATTAATTATTGAAGGAAACTACGACGAATTTAAGGTTTGCGTCCCTAACCCATATCGCTAATCTATTGTCTCGGTAGGCAGACAAAAGTTTTACTATTTTTATTGTTATTCGGGAGAACACGAGTAATTTGTAATCAATTGATAAAAGAAACTTGGATCGAAGGTTAATGAAAGTTTTTTTACTTCCATTTTGAAGGAAAGTTTTGCGCAATATTTTTATAGGCGACTTCTGTTTATTGGAACAGAAGAAAATGGAGCGACGCTGATAATTAGGAAACGTCATTTTTTCTTGAGAAAATAAGTTATTATTATGTTTACCTGTGGTCTGACTCTTCTCAGAATTGTCGAGCTAAATTTTCGTCGTTGTTCTGGGCGTCTTAAGGCGTCACTTGTTGGATTTTGCATGCCAGGCAATTCGGATATTCTCGATGCATGAACTGGTGAGAAGGCATTTGAACTCTGCAAACGAGTCTTAACAACTTCTAGTGGACAAGTGACAACAGCTCCTGATGTGCCAGCAACCCTATAAAAGATGCAAATTAAATTATGAGTTGTACATTTACTTTTCAATCTTGACTCATCGAAATCTTATTGATCATCGCTTAGCCTAGTTTCATTCAACGGATCGTTTAGAAAAATAAAAACCGATTTTCGGTGGTAATTGATAACATAAACATTGACTTTAGATGATTGTGCTGATTTCTACTAGTGCAACATTTCAAATCAAGTAATCAAACTTGGACGATTTCATTGAATAAAGTATGACTTTCATGAGACTCCCAAATGGGCTGATAAGAATAATTCATTCGATTTCTCAGTCACGTCTTCCATAAATCTTTCATAACCAGTTTCAACTGAAATGTGAAGATTATTTGACAGTAAACAACCACATCACTATATAAACTCATGATAACCCCATAAGTTGATCCCAAGACTGGAACAAACAGAACTTCTCATGTTGTTCACTCATCGATCATTCATTTGGATTGAAACTAGGCGCTGAAATCTTTCAGCTTTCCGGATGAAACCGGTGAAGGAAAACCTCGATTCACATAAACTTTTACAATCGCTCGTTATCAAAGAAGTCAGAAATCAAAAAATATTTCAGAATTGCATTGAATTTTAAAAAATATGAGAATTTTGATAATACATCTGACATCAGAGTGGCCTGACAGGAAATAATAAGCAAGTCATTCCATGATTTTGTTGTCTGAGATGTACAGACGACGAATAAGAAACCCGTCAACAACTAATTGGGTCGATTTCTTACAAATCATTTTTTTTTCTTCTTCTCATTGTTGTGTACAAAGTGTAAGCTTAAGTAAACAACTTTGATTTGGGTTCACGAATCACAATTAAATCCCTTCTTAAAACTAGATTTCACTGGTTTGTAACTGGTTTGGTTTCTTATCAGTTACACATGAAGCAGTAGACAAGAAAGAAGACCCGATGTTGCTGTGTGGAAAGCACGATTGGATTTTCATTTAATTTCGACGTAAAAATGAAATCATAGCTTGAAAAGTGCAAGATTTTTGTTATTATTAGATATTCCGCATTATAAAGATTCTCAAGGTTTTGTCAATTGAATTTTCATCACAATACAAACATTGATAAAGTGAAGTGCCGATATTTCATGATAAACAAAAAGCGAGCAACCACATGGTGCAATTAAACTCTTTTTCGCACAGTTTTCATCACGAAATAATAACATAATCTATTTATAAAATCACGCTGATTTCACGTGAAAGAATTAATGCCAAATTTCGAATCACTATAATAAATTGTTCACATCTTGCTTATTTAATTAATGCGTCACCGAGACATGAATTCACCATGCGAATTTTATGTGCGGAAAATGTAGATATAAATAGATGAGAAAATTGAAGAGGACGACACAAGTTATGAAGATCATCATTGCGGAAATTTTTGTCCGAATTTGTTACAATGATCTTCAGTGAAATGTCTGCCAAACCTTAATTTTCTTCTTCCTATTAGAACAGTCAATACAATATGGCAGAAATCTTTCTTTAAATAAGCAATTAGCGCCACAATGCTATGTAAAGATATGAGTCAGAAAAAAAGATTTTCTTTTGCACGATAATAAATAAATTACGATGTAAATAGAAGAAATGAAGGAATTTAAAATCAGTGACCACAACAAAAATACTCAGAAGAGTCATCGAACTTAATAACAAATTAAATCATCGATAATCAACATTCTACTTCATTTTATATACAATCATTCATGACATCGATGATTTGGGATCATAAACTTCAAAATTATCATTCATTCAATGCTTTCGACTTGAAAAAGAAGCTTCCAATGGACATGGCGCTATTTGCATTTTAAATTTCATTCGTGAAAGAGAAAATAGTAAAAATAAAAACTTATTATTGACGGAATATTTCAAGCAACAGTTTCGCGACGCAATACTCGATCCCCCAAAAAATTTGCTCAAGGTCGCTAAACTTATTCGTTACACAACATTTTTCTTGTTTTCTTCTTATTATTAATGCTAAGCAGTTAAGTTAAAACAAGATCTTAAAAGGGAACTGGCAAAAAATATATTCACGGTGCGAATTCAACTCTTATTGACTGTTTTTGTGGTTTTGAACTTTTTGCAAAAGAAGTAAGTCGTAATAAACTGTTTGTTTTGCCGGGAAGATTGTTATTATGTAAGATGTGCATCAATTAAACTTTTACTCGTAGTACCGGTTAGTCGATTAGAATGAAAATTTATCGAGTTGCTGTTTACGTTTCAAAAAGATCTCGTGAGTTATTTAATAGAACGTTGTAAATGAACTTGGACTATCACAACTGATTGATTCGAATACACAACAAAAACTTGGCATCGAAAAATTACTAACGTTATTATATTTTTGCTTTTTCATTTCTGAAAACTTTGCAGAAAACAAATTTTGCTGTTTTATTATTTTCCTTGTTGTCATTTCAGTAGTAACCTAAATAAATTTATGGCAAAAACATTGTTTTGATTGGATTAAAATGTAAATTTATGTTGAAAAGTTTCTTGACTTTGGGACAAGGTACGATTAATCTAAACAACTTATCGATTTAACCTTGAGATATCTCATCTTGAACCGTAACTATTTGTTAAATCAATACTTTAAATGAGGAAAGTTGAGTTCATATTTGTGTGCCTTCATTTTGCCAACATTCAACTTTAATTATTAACTTTTATTGGACTTCTGCCCATAAATTATGATGAGATTGACTCATGAAAATACAAATCTGGTCAAAATGATAAAATTATGATCCAAAAATAAATTCTTTTAACAACAATTCAGACAATCCTTTGAAAATTCAACAAATGTAAACAAATCTTTCAATGGAATCGAGAATTGAGTGGTTCAAAAGTGCATGCGCTAATGCACACATAGCATTCTTTTTGTCTTTCCTGCAATTTATACACTCTGAATTAAAAGCAAAAAATATGATAAAATGTGAGAAAAGGAGAGTGAGAGAAGTAGAAACGCTGAACAAAATCTATTTTTAGATTTCGCGAAGCAGAAACAGCGATGGTGTTGTTGAAATGAAAGGGGTGAAGGAAAGTATACAACAAAAAAGAATGACAACTTTTCAGAAATGCACACTTGAGTCACTAAATAAACTTTGAAAATCTGCATTACTCAATGAATTTTAATCTTCCAGGTTATCAACATTCTCTTTTAGCGTGGTGGAAAGATTTCCATGACGCTTATCAACTTACCCGCCAGCTACAAGATGAATGATGGAGTCGCGTTCTGACATGTTTACGGTGTAATTTTAATCAGTCTTTTTTCTTAAGTGTCAATTTTAAAGTTTCAATCACACAACTTTCCTAAGTATCACTATAGGTCACATAGTTTGCTGCTAATCCACGTTGTCATTTCTTATTTATTTCGCAAAACAAACATTAAAGAATTACAAAATATTGTTCTCAAATTTTTGATCTTTTCACGATTCGGCACAATATTTCTTATGATACGCAATAATACCGAAAAAAATTCCAATAAACTTCTTATCTAATAGTTTTCTCCTTTATTGAACTTTGTCAGGTTATTCTGCATGAGCTTGGAGCTAAAAACCTGATACCTCACAAATCTTTAAAAATCTACTTATTCCACAAATCTCAGTTGATCTATAAGGAATATTTAGGCGGAAATATGTTTCTTCTTAGTAAATCACGAGAAATTATTAAACTTTTGTGCTTTCCGAGTTAATCGTTTGACGGTCGAATTGTGAATGCGAGATTTTCGCAAGTTCTCTCGGGGCTTTTCTCTCGTTGAGAAGGGGTGTAAAAGAGAGCGATTATGAAACACAACTTAAAATTCCGTACTTTGATACCCTTTAACCATTTTAAGATCGACGCTAGAGAGACCCGGATAAGACAGTTTTTCCTCGGAAATTCATTTTGGTGCGTTCGCGCGGATTTGACCTTCCATACAAAATGCCTGCAAAATTTCTCCGTGTTCACAAATTTCTCCGTGTTCACATTTCGATCGTAGCGCCGCCACTGAAACGTTCTCGGACAAAAGATCAATCAAAATTTTTTAAAGTTTCTCCGTGGATGATAATTCTCCGTGGGTGATTACACTCTCCACCTGAAACTAACTTTTTGGGGGTGCAGTTTTAGGTGGAGAGTGTATAAAATCTCAACTGAAGTCAGTTATGGAATTTCGTAATTTTTTGTTATTCTTTTAAAAATGTCTCTTCAATCAAAGTCGGGGAATTTTTGTACGCCTGAAGAAATAAAGTTGAAAAAACAACAAGCTGAAGAACGTCACAAAAAGTTCCTGCAGGATCTAAAACTTAAAAAATTACAAAATAATGAAAATAACAAAGACTCAGCTAAAAGTGCCGAAAAATCTTCAACAACAATAACAATCAGCGCTGAACAAAAAGCTGAAATTGAGAAAAAACGCTTAGCTGCAATTGAACGAGCTAAAGCAAAAAACATTTCACTTGGAAAATTCTCAAAATTTCAACCGGCTAATGTTTCGTCAAAGATAAATTCGACAATATCCAATGTAGACAATAGCATTGTCTCCCTGAATTCTAATAAGCTAGTCAATACAAATTCAAGAAATGAAAATCGTTTAAAACTTCCAGATGGGTTGTCAATTGGAAAAGAAGCAACAACATCAACGACAACTGTTTTAACTCCACAACAAAAAGCTGAAGTCGAACGAAAACGTCTCGCAGCACTTGAACGTGCTAAAGCGAATAATATATTACCAAGAAAATTTCATAGTGTGCCAGGTAATCAGCAATCAAAGTCTGTGATAAGCGAAGCTCGTCATCATCCATATCAAAGACCGTCAACTGATACGAAAGTTCCTCCATTAATACCAAAAATTCCTGTCATTTGCTCTTTGGAAATAATTAGTGAGAAACGTTTTGTGGCCAGATTAAATAACTATAATGAAGCAATTATCAACGAGTTTAAGAAAATTCCATCAAAAAGTTACGGTAAAAGTTTTCCTCTAATTTCTTTTATTTCTTTTATTTTTTGTTAATAATATTTTTAATTTAGATCAAAAAACTCGTAATTGGTCTTTTAGTGTTGAAGACTACGAAAAATTTTGTCAAAATCTCGAGAACATTAAAAATTTTGTGAAAGTTGAAAAGGTTCCTGAATTTGTCATGAAACATATTCAAAGAGCGATTGTTGCATCTGACGAATCGTGCCTTGATTCAATTGAATCTGAACTGACACAGACATTGTTAGACTTTCAAAAGGAATCAATTTGTTATGGGATTGCTCGTGGCGGTCGCGTTTTGTTGGGTGATGACATGGGACTTGGTAAAACACGACAAGCTTTAGCAATTGCGGATTTCTATAGAAATGACTGGCCTTTGCTTATACTAACAACAGCATCGTTGAGAATAATGTGGCGAGATCAAATAGTCGATCTTCTACCAAATGTCAATGTCCATGATATTCGTGTAATGGAAACAAGTAAAGAATCGATTGGAGGTGCGAAAGTTGTTATTTGCAGTTACAGTGGACTTGAAAATAATATGAAGCGACTTATGCTTCATGGATTTGGAATGGTGATTTATGACGAGTCGCATTCACTCAAAAATGTTAAAGCAAAACAAACTAAAAACGCAACTGAACTTGCCGATAAAGCTTTCAGAGTTGTTCTGATTACAGGAACTCCAGCACTTTCACGACCAGCTGAATTGTTTCCCCAATTAGCGATTCTTGACAGTCGTTTTGCTGATTGGTGGAGTTTCACTCGTCGTTATTGCAAAGGGCATCAGACACAGTTTGGATGGGACGCGACTGGATCATCTAATCTTGATGAACTCAATGTTGTACTAAGAAAGAAATTTATAATTCGACGAACGAAAGAAGAGTTGAATGAAGTTTTTTCAGGATTAGGAAAGAAATTGAGGGAAGTTGTGATGTTGAAGGATTTTAAAATCAATGAAAGCAATAATAAAATAATGAAAGGGTTTGCCCAAAAGTTTCAAGAGAATCGTGGAGCTCTTAAACAACAAAAGTCAATTTTAATGAATTGGTACACGCAAACAGCTGAATTAAAAGCCGAAAGTGTTTGGTGAGTTTTTCTTTCCTTATTTCTACTAACTTAATAAATTTTGTTTCTATTCATCAGTCGATACATTGAAGACATCCTAAAGAAGAATGATGAAAAGTTGATCATCTTTGCAGCTCATTTTTCTGTCATGGATGCTTTATCAAATTGCTTAACAAATAATAAAGTTTGTTATGTTCGGATTGACGGTAAAACATCTTCAGATGTTAGGCAATTGAATGTCAACCGCTTCCAGAATGATTCAAATGTTCGTTGTGCTATTTTGTCGATCAGAGCTTGTTCTGCTGGAATTACATTAACAGCAGCCAGCACAGTCATTTTCACTGAACTAGATTGGACACCATCAATGATTATTCAAGCTGAGGGACGAGTTCATCGAATTGGTCAAGAGAAGCAAGTTAAAATTATTTTTCTTATCGCGCCCGGTACTGCTGATGATGAAATTTGGAATCTTTTGAATGAAAAGCAAAAAAATTTAACGAAAGTCGGTTTGGTTGGTGTTGATGAAAATTTATCTGAAAATTTAGCAGCTTCAACATTTGATGCTGGGACGTCAGCTGCTGGAATAGCAACAAATTCCATCACAAATTACTTTCCATCTTCTCAAAACACTTCAAAATCATCGGAAAGCTTCTACACATGTGAAGCTGAGATTCGTGAACTTGTTGATGATGCTAATGACAACGATGACGATGATATTGATATGGAAGAAGTTTTACAGAAAGTTGAAGAAATGGAAAGAGTTGTCGTAACGAAACAAGAAGAATCTGATGAAACTTTCGACTCGGAAATGATTCTAGAAGTCGAGAAGATCGAAAAGAAAGCTTTTGAATTGGAAGATGATGAATTTGATGATAATTATCTAGCAGCAATCATTGAGCAAGAAGAGAAAATGAGAAATTAATTTGATTTTCATAATAAAAATTGTTTGTTAAGGAAATTTAAATTTTTATTTTTATTATTAAGTTTGAAAGTTTGGAAATTTGAAATTGCAGATTAAATCTCATTAAACAACTTCCATATTCATTCCACTCCCGATTCTTAGAAGTGCAAATTGTTTTTGAAATTCTGTAAATTTTTCAAGATCGTCTTTGAGATATTCGACGGCACGTTTTCGTAAATCATCAGCTTCTGTGTGCTTTCCATGTTTCCACAAAAATTTGATGTAGTCTAACCAAATCTAAAAAGGAAAGTTCATCAATGAATAATTTAATATTAAAATTATTTCTATTTACCTCTGAATTTTCCTTTCCGAAATTTTGTGTTGCTCGTTCGTAACAATTTTTTATAATTTTTTCATTTGGATTGTTTTGAGCTTCTTCAATTTTAATCATTGTACGGAAGAAATCCAACGAAAGGTAAGTGGAAGTTTTAGTTTGAATAAGAGATTTGAAAATTTCGCGAGTCTTTTCGATGCTTCCCGTCATTGAATGATATTCAAGATAAAAAGGTTGAAAAGCTTCCGAAAGCTTTTTGTCGCTACTGTTGATGGCTTCCGACATGATTTCCGCTGCTTTTTCCTTCTCTGTTGAACTTTTTAAATAAACTCCACATAAAAATCTGTAAATTTCCACAACGTGTTTGTGATTATTGTTGATGGCATGTTTGAAGGTTTTCTTGATACTTTCATGATCCTTCATGAAAATGAAATATTTAATAGAAAGCTCGAAAAGTTCCATTGAATTTGGATACAAACTTCCTCCTTTCTCTAACATTTCCTCAATTTCATTTTTATTTTGCTCAATATTGAGCATAAGAAGTTTAATAAAATGAATGAAATGTACCGATGATAAACTGTCTTGTTGATATCCTTTAACGAGAGTTTTTCCCAGTGAATGTCGAATCATTTTCAAAGAACTTTTGTTTAAATTCCTCATCTCATCGAGTTCGAGAAGTTTTTCAATGTAATGTGAAAACATTTTCTTGTCGTTCTCTTGAGAAACAGTTTCTAAACCTTTCTCATAAATTTCAATTGCACGACTTAGGCAAAGTTCAAATGGAACTGTTTCAGTCTCTTTCTCAACTTCAGAACTTTCACTTTTGTTTTGTTCATAAAATATTCCATCCAAGTGACGTTTAGCGAGTAAATTCCAAACTTCAGGCTCTTCCGAATAATTCTGCATTAAATCTGTGATGATGTCATCTTGGAAAGTCATTGTGTAGTCAAAACTTTGAATTCTGTTCAAAAGTTCACAAATATTTAAGAAATTTCCCGAGTCCTTTAGAATCTTCACATAAAATTTTGACGCTTGTTGCAATGTTGCTTTCTTCACTTCATCATTTTCATTTGATCCTTGTTCAAACGAGCACTCAATATAAAGTGCTACAAATTTCTCGGAAGCCTCTTTATTAACTCCCATTCCTTGCATCAACAAACCCATCGCATTTGCGTAATTTTTCCTTGACTTTTCATGCTCAGCAGCTTCTATGAAATCTTCTGGTTTGCGATGAAAACAAAGCATTTCTTGATAAATACTTGACACAAGATTGAAATATTTCTGTTTAGCAAATGCTATGAAATGTTCCCAAAGTTTTCTTTTGTCTTGAAATTTCATAAGTGCGAGTCTGAAAAGTGATTTAACATGAGCTGAGAGAACTCTGTCTAAAGCGATTCCATCTCTTTCGTTTTCGTAATCAATATGTTTAAACTTCTTCATTAATGCTATTTCATATTTGATATAATCAATAAAAGGACGTAATTCTGAGCAACTTTTAATTGAAACCTCAAAGAATGAGCGTTTTCGTTTCACTTGACTAAGTTCTTCATCCGTGAGAAGTTTAAGCTTTTTGATGTGCTCATATTGGTCAATAAATTTTTCATTTTTAAATTGTGATGCTCCTGCCATTGGATATCTTTGTTTTCGTGAGTTTAATTAAATTTGCAATTTCACGTGTTGATGTTTTGGTTTTAAGTTCAAAATTACAGTGAGCACTCTCAAAATTTGAAGTTCATAAACTTTTTGTTTTGATCTTAAGTTCAAATTGTGTTGGAATCCAAAAAACCAAATTTACAAAAAAGAATAATTAAAATAATGTCTCAAATAAATAATAAAGAAGAAGTAGTCGGTCATGAAGAGATACAAGAAATCTTAAAATTAGGAACAGATTTAAGAGAATATTCACAGGAGATAGAAAAAGAACTTGTTAAGGTAAATTTGATGAAAAGAAATTAAAAATATTTTGTCATCAAAAATTCAATTTATGTTACAGGTTTCGAATGAAAGTATTTCGTCATACATTAAAGAGTCATCAAACATTGCACAACTTCACAATCAAATAGGATCTTGTGATAAAATATTAGAAAATATGGAGAATATGTTAACAAATTTCCAACAAGTCCTTAACAATATTTCATCAGAAATTACGATTCTCCAGAAAAAGTCAGTGAACATGAGTGTACAGCTCACGAATCGGCAGTCAGTTAGAGCACAACTTTATCAATTTGTAGATGATATGGCTATTCCAGAAGAAATGATAAGATGCATAATGGATTGTCCAGTTACAGATAAAGATTTTCTGACTCATTTGAACGAACTAAACCACAAACTGAGTTTAGTGAAAGAATTGAATTTTAAGGAGTCGAAATCAGCTGATGATGTTGGTGATATTTTGGAGAAGTTGAAAATCAAATCAATGTCAAAGTTAAGAAATTATTTACTGGATCAGATTTATAAATTTCGACGGCCAATGACGAACTATCAAGTTCCACAAAATGCAATGCTGAAACACAAATTTTTCTTCGAATTTATATTGTCAAATGAAAGACAAGTAGCACAAGAGATCTGTACTGAATATGTTGATACTATGGGGAAGATATACTACAGCTACTTCAAGAGTTACTCATCTCGACTTGCTGACTTACGTTATGAAGAAGCAGTGACAAAAGATGATTTAATGGGAATTGAAGACACTGCAAGTAAAGGTCTTTTCACAAAATCAACATCATTAAAGAATAAAAGCACGATTTTCACAATTGGTAATCGTGGCGATATTTTAACATCTCAACTTGAAGCTCCAATAATCGTTCCACACACACAGCAGAAGATCAGATTTCCCTTTGAAGCTCTCTTCAGATCAGAACAATATGCACTAGTTGACAATGCTTGTCGGGAATATCTTTTCATCACAGAATTTTATTTAGTTCGTGGAAATCAATCACAAGATCTTTTCAATCAAATTATGGGCAAAACAATGTCTTTGATGTTGAAAAATATTGACACTTATGTTCAAGATTGTTACGATACAATCGCTTTGTTTCTCTGCATTCAACTTATTCTTCGATATCAAATTATGTGTCATAAACGATGTGTTAATGCTTTAGATAAATATTGGGACACACTTCAATCAGCAATTTGGCCACGATTTGAGTTTCTCTTCAGATTAAATATTCAAAGTATTCGTGATTGTGATCCAACAAAGTTTAGTAAGGAAACTGGTCCACATTATGTAAGATAATTTACCTTTCAATATTTAATATACCTAATTTAACAATTATAATTCATGCAGATAACTCGACGTTACGCTGAATTCTCAGCAGCTGTTGTTGGAATCACTGAAAACTTTCCAAATGAAACTGTCAGTCGTCTACTACTTGAACTTCAGAATGAAGTTGAATGTTTTATGCTTCGAATGGCTGCAATTTTTCCACAGCGAAAAGAACAGTTGATTTATTTGATTAACAATTATGATTTAATTCTTGGAATTTTGATGGAAAGAACGAGAGACAATACAAAGGAAGCTGAATCATTTCGTGAACAGTTATCAGCAAGAAGTAACGAATATGTTGAAGAAATTCTCAGTCCACACATGGGTGGAATCATTCATTTTGTAAAGGAATGTGAAAAGGAAAGTGTAAGTTTTATACTTAATTTAATTCAATGAATATATAAATTAATCGTTGTAATTTCACAGAGTGAAGATTTGAAACGACAAGAACGTCGATCTTTGGCGCTTGTGACAAGTTTTTCATCGAATTGGAAGAAGGCAATTGAAGACTTAAACCGTGAAGTTCTTTTGTCATTCCCATCACTTGTAACTGGGCAATCGCTTCTTCAACTCGCTTTAGCTCAACTTGTGCAATATTATAACAGATTTCATAAACTTTTGACACCAACAGCTCGAGCTCAGCTCGTAAACATTCATGTAATTATGGTGGAGATCAAAAAGTATAAAAGTAGTTATTGAGCATTCCATAAATATTTTAATTTTTATTGTATTGCGTACTTTATTTAAAACTCCAAACATGAGATGAAACTTTAATAAACTTAAATGTTTTCTGCACTTTATTTCTTTAATCTTCATCTTCGAAAAGCATTTCCACTAAATCAGGGTTTGCAGCTTGCGATCCATCTAATCGTTGTGCACCTTTCCATCGAAGTAATGTCGGTAAGAACACAAGATGAGTCCTTGTATCCTTTCGGAATGGATTTTCTAAGTCTTTCCAGCTTGTTGAATAAAGAAAATTGCTTTATTATTTCATGATATGACTTAAACAACACTTAGATAACAAATGCCTAAGTGATTATCTTTGAAAATATTTCATAGTCATGATGATTACTTACAATGGACGATCAATTTCGACCGTGATGAAATGACTTTCTGGAGGCGCTGTTTCAACAACTTTTGTTATAACCGGATAAGCTTGATTGCAATAAGGGCACCAACTTATTTGAGACAGGAAAATATATTAAAATTATGTAAATTTTAAATGGAAATTTTAAAATTTAATACCTTTTGCCTGATTCATCTTTATCGCCACTGAAGAAAACATTAATCGGCTTTTTCTCAGTTTCTAATTTTGTAACAAGAGCTTCAAACTCGTTCCACCCTTTAACATGATGTTTAACAATCATTTTCACGCAGTTTTTTAACATTCAACTTATCTATTCAAAAGCAAGCTAAAAAGTTTACTTTTGTTGATAATAACGACACCTTCGCACCCCTCGTACGTTCAAGAGTAAATTCTTTGATAGTGTTGGTTAAGATCAAAATCAAATGCTATAAAACTGCAGAAATATTTTGTGAATAAAAAATATTGTGAATTTTAATGAAAATTATAATAAAATGTTAATGTAGCTAAAGTTAAACCATTACAAAGTTGCAGGCAAATCATAAGTTTCATCAACTACAACGAAAAAGTGAGTTGTGACGTTTAAAAACATTGAAAATAAGAAACGCATGCATGAACATGTTGTGATTGGCAATTTTTTCTTTTTCGTGGCTATAATTTAAAAGATTATATTAATTACAGTTTTTCGGCTTCATTTAACTAACAACCAGAGTGATAAATGATGGGAGATCCAAGTTTATCAGCTCTTGCAAATGAGCTTGCAGTTGCAGTCGAGATCACGATGAATCCACAGGCTTCTCAACAACAGCGAATGGATGCTTACATCGCATGTGAAAAGTAAGAATTTCATATCCGACTTATAATCTTTCATCATTACAATTTATATTTAATGTATAGATTCAAAGAACTTTCACCTTTGTGTGCTCAAGCTGGATTCTATCTCGTCACTAATCATCAGTTTTCAACCATTGTCAAGCACTTTGGATTGCAATTAATGGAACATCAAGTGAAATTTAACTGGAGTAAAATTTCTCAGGATGAAAAGATCTTTATCAAAGACAACACAATGAAGCTTCTTGCAACGGGTGTTGGGCCGGCTGATGACAAATCCTTGCTTCACATTAAAGACGCACTTTCAAGGATAATTGTTGAAATGATGAAACGTGAATGGCCTCAACAATGGCCAACACTGCTTGGTGAATTATCGAATGCAAGTGACAAAGGATTATCACAAACAGAACTTGTTGCTCTCGTCTTTCTTCGTCTTGTTGAAGACGTCGCATTACTTCAAACAATCGAATCAAATCAACGTCGCAAAGACATTTATCAAGCGTTGACTGTTAACATGACTGAGATTTTTGACTTCTTTCTCAACATTATCGAACGGAATATTCGTGAATTTGCAACAACTCAAAATGCTGGAAATGCTCGAGTTGTTCAAGTTATTCTCAACACTTTGGCTGGCTTTGTTGAGTGGGTGAGCATTAATCACATTATAGCATCGAATGGTCGATTACTCCAAACGATTTGTTATTTGTTGGAGTTTCCTGACTTTCAACTAGCTGCAGCTGAATGTCTCAGTCACATAACAAATCGAAAAGGAATTGCAAAGGATCGCAAACCTTTATTGTTTCTATTTAATGATGAGCCAATGCATAACATTTTCCGTTCTCTTGAACGAATGACAACAATTCAAACAGAAAATTATCATTTATACCTAAAAAAACTAACATTAGCTATGCAAGGATTGTCAGGATTATTAACAACACTTTGGGGGAAGGAAGCTGACATTCAAACACCACCACGGAACTTTGTGACTTTCCTACAAATTGTCATTGGATTTGCACGACATCCAAGCATTTCTGTAACGCATGGCGGTGTTCTCATCTGGTTGCAACTCATCAAACATGATTCGATAGCAAAAGATCCAACATTTATTGACAGCATTCGAGCGATGGTTGAGGTCATTGGACCGAAAATTCTTAAGCGGCCTTATCCACGTGTTCGAGATTGTTTTGCACCAAATTCTGTTCCATACACAACTGAAGCTTACACATGTCTGGATTTCGATGGTGAAGAAGAATACTTGCAATTTGTATCACGAGCTCGTGTGGATTTCCTGGAAATATTTCGACAAGCAACTCTCGTCACGCCACTTTTCACATTTTCATATTGTGAACATTTATTGAATCAACGACTTGACAAATCAATTAATGAGAACGTCACATCGTGCAGCATCACAGATCCGATTTATCTTGAATGGGAAGCAATTGTTGCTGTTCTTGATGGCGTTTTAAGTCGAATTTTACTTGTAACAGAACGACCAGCAATCATTAATGGACTGAGACTCCTGGAAAAATGTTTATTAGTTAAGACTCAGGATCCAATCATTTATTCGGTGCTTCTCTCATGCATCTCATCATTATTTGTGTTTCTTAGCATGTCAGCAGCTGGTAATGTTGCTGTCAGCGGTGTTCAATTACTTCCGCCTGTTCTCGATAAGATATTTAGTGCCATTGTGTTCAATCAAAGTCAGACAACAGACCAAGAAGGTCAACTTCGTTCAGCTGCTGTGAAGAATCTTCGTCGTCATGCTGCAAGCTCAATTGTTAAGATTGCATTGAAGTATCCTTTACTTCTTTTACCAATCTTTGAGCAAATCAACACAACTGTCAAGACTTTATCAAATGCTGATAAACAATTATCAAATTTGGAGAAATTGTTATTGCAAGAAGCTTTGTTGATCATTAGCAATCATTTCTGTGAGTTTGAACGACAACAATTGTTTATTGGTGAAGTGATTCGGCCAGCAATTCGTATGTGGCAAGAATTGGCTGTTGTGTTGAAGTCGCCAGCATCATTCATTGATTATATTGGTTTGTCGAAAGGTCCAGTGGATGGAAATTTCAACGATGATGTTCATTATAAGAATCGACAATCAATGTTGATGGCTTTGAACACAGTTCTTGGTGTGATTAAACGTTGTCAATGTCCAGACGATCCGGATAAGTCTTATCGTGGTGGATTTATTGTTGCAACGACAGATTCTGGTAATCCAATAACAAGAAATCCAGCAGCGCCACACGTCATTCCACTTCTTCAACATATTCTCGCGTTATTGCGATGTTTAAATGAATTGTGGAGTCCATCATCACTCGCATTGTTTCATGATGCATTTAAAGGTGCTAATAATATGTTGGAAAATGAAAAGAAAGCCGTCTTGGGGGTCGTTTATTTTGTGCCTGATCCACTCGATCCAGTACAACTCATGAAGCAAAAGACGTCGTTCGATTACATGCAGCAATTCCTTTCATCACTTTATGACAGTTGCTATAACTTAATGGGAACATCTGGAGGCTCTCTTGGACGTGATTTATATGGATTGGATGGACTAGCGACAGCTCTCATCAACAGTGCATTTAGTAACTTGGAACATGTTCCAGATTTTCGTTTAAGGACGATTGTCAGAGTTTTTCTTCGAATTTTTGTCTATGCATGTCCAACGACTTATCATGTCAGCGTTCTTGTGCCAATTTTTGGACATATTGCTCCATTCAGTGAGTTTTTCTTATTTTTTAATTTAACTTTCATTACAATTTTCTCAATTAATTAGTGCTGAATCGTCTAACAACAAGATGGGATTACATTGGATCACTTTTCGAGAATGGAGCGCTAAGTGATGACACCAACAATGATGCGCAAGAAGTTCTTGATGATATTTTGAATCGAACTTTAACTCGTGAGTATTTGGATGTGTTGAAAGTTGCGCTTGTTGGTGGTACGGCTGGAACAGCTGATTCTAATGATAATGGAAGTGGTTCGATGATGGATCAAGATGATCATTCAATGGATGCATTACCGCATGTGACACGAGCGGCTCAAGCAGCAATGCAATCTGATATTATTAGTGAACTTGGACGTAAATTGTTGATGGCACCACTGACATGTGAAGCGATTGTTTACACGATTTTTAAGTAAGTTCGATTTACAAAATATTTAGAGAAAAATTATTAAAAAGAATTTCCTTCAGTTGCATTGCATGGAATGACAGCAACGCCAGTTTAAAAGGTTGCCTTCTTGCCGGTCCAGTAATTCGTCATCTTGCAAGCGATCAAGTTGTGACTTCGAATCTTGCCGCTGTTATTTTGACAAGAATTCTTCAAGGACTTCAACTTCATGGTCATCACGACGCTAATCATGTAAGAAAATATTTTCTCATCACTTTTTATTGAATCATTTTACTTTTTTAATCTAATAGGCATCACTTATTGCGCTCGGCGTTCAAATCTATGAAATTGTCCGACCAACACACGCTTCTGTTGTTTTAAGCATCATGCAGCAAATACCAAACTTAAATATAAATGATCTGCAGAAATTGGATGAAAAAATACTCAACTCGACAGCAACTGGCCCGTTAGCGAATGCAACAAATCAGGGTACAGGCACAATGGGCAGTAAATCCAATAAAATCGACAAGAACAAGAAGGATCTCTTTAAGAAAATCACATCACATTTGATTGGCCGAAATGTGCTTGCTTCGCTGTTTCGTAATCCAGCAGTCATTAATGATTTACGTCCTTTAAACAACAACAGCAAACACAAGAACACAAACATTATCGAATCGACGACTGACACAGGGATGCAGCAACTTTTCCGTGAAGTTCCACGATAAAGAATTCTTTTTTTTATTTATTATTATTTTTTTCTTTGTTGTTGACTGAATTCTCATCTTATTAATATCTTCACTTACTGTTGTACTTCTGCAAGTTTCTAATTTTACTTGTAAAGATGTCAAACTCTGATCGAAACGCACATTTTTATCTTTCATTTTAAAAACAATCACAAAAATTCTTAAATGAAAACCAAAATATTCGTGAAAGCCACGAAAATGTTTAAAGTGAAGAAGAAAGAAAATAAAATCTATGGAAATATTATTAATTTAATTAACATAACATAAAATGTTAATTTAATGTTAAAGTGAAAAAGGAAAACAAATGAAATTGTGCAAAGAAAAACATTCCAAACGCCCGCGCTAGTGGAGAAAATAAATGGAATGCGTTTGTACTTTAATCAATTCTTTTTTTATTAATTTCTTTCATAGTTTAATTAAGTTCTTTAAAATTTTGAAATAGAAGACAAAAAAGAAGATTTTCTACTAAAAGAACTTGAGTTGGTTCTTGATCGTATCAACTCTGATTATGTGTATTGAAATGAATAAACAATAAAAAAATTTCTTTTACATTTCAAGAAAAGTTTTTTAATATGAATTTGCTTTATGTTTTGGTAGGAATTGAAATCCGTCTGGAATTTTTCCTAAGAACATTTCACTAATCTTCAACCAATCACTTGATTTGTTTGATGTCATTAAAGTCTCCAAATCATCGCGTCCTAAATAAGAATCGTGTTCTGGTCGTTGATGAATCTTTTGTGGTGGACGTTCTAAAATTCCATATGGAACGTATCGATAAAGAAATGATTGCCATTCCAATAGGAACCGTCGCGTATTTTCAACACCTTTCGTGTCACTTCCCCAATGCGTCAAACCATAATTTACATATTTTTGTAACATTTCAAAACGTTCTTTACTGCTGATGTCAAACGCTTTTCCTTCTTTAATTTCCTTGAAAATCCAAGGCTTAATCAAAGCACCTCGTCCAATCATGACACTTGAAACGTGTGGAGCTCGTTCACGAACTGATTGATAATCCTCAAAGTTCAAAATGTCGCCATTGCCAATGATTGGAATTCTTTTCACTTCTTTAGCACATTTCTCAATGTAATCCCAATCAGCGAGTTTCGTATAACGTTGTTCTCGTGAACGACCATGAAGTGTCACAGCTGAAGCTCCCCATTGTTCTAACTTTGGCAAAAGTTCATGTGCTACTGATTTGTTCGCATAAACGCCAGTTCGAGTCTTAACTGTGAAAGGTTTTTCACCGAGAATTCGAGAGCAACTTCTCACAATTTGTTCGAGAACATTTTGTCGTCTAATAAGTGCAGAACCAGCACCTTGTTGGTAAATTAAGTCAATTGGACATCCAATGTTTAAATCAATGAAATCAACGTCAATATTTTCTGTGAGAACTTGTGCTGCATAACAAACAGTTCTCGCGTTTGCACCGCAAAGTTGTACACCGAAAATATCTTCGCTGCTGTGGCGTTTTGTCAAAGCCCATTCGGGAAGTGATCCAGTTATGATTGGTAAAGCACACGCCATTTCACCAACTGTAATGTCAGCTCCATATTCCTTACATATTCTCCGAAATGGCAAATTTCCAACTGTCGTCAATGGACTGAGCACGAGTTTGTTGCTGAAATCTATTCGTTTCTTTTCTTCCAATCTTATTTTTACATTCTCATCATCCCCAGCTGAACCAATTAACTTTTTTCCAATAATTTCATCAACTTCCTTCAATACTTTATCAGATTTAGAATAATCAAAAGTTTTCTTACGTAGGGAATTTTGAAGTTCCCATGGAAGATGTTGACGTTCAGTTCGTTCGATTTTATTTGGATTTTTGTTAATATTTTCATCAGTCAAATGATTTTTTGCAAGTCGACATGTAACTCCATAAATGCAGAATCCCTTGACATCATAGATCGGACATTTTTCACCTATATCTGGAGCTTTATTTTCGAGATATGATTTTAAATCATGTGACATTCTACACTTGTCACTACGTTCACATTCAACTTCACGTCCATCAACTAATGATCGACACAATTGCTCATCCAATGATTGTTTGAAAATAGGCCGACGCTTGTTCATTCCCTTTTTCTCCCTTTTCCTTTGTCTCTTTGACATTGGTTGTCCATCTTCTTGTCTGGGATGTTCACTTTCGTCAGTTTTCTTTATTTCTTCCTGCTTCTCTTTGATGTCATGTTGAATTTTTACCAAAGGAAGTTTATACCTGAAATATTATTTGATTTTTATGAACATGTTTTAAACACAAGTTAACTACTTACTCTGGTTTGATGAAACATATCAATTCATCTGGAGTACTCATGCTTTTAATTTATTATTCGAAGAAGCAGAATATTAGCATGCGAGAATTTAAGTTCAAAACAAAGTTGAAATTTAAGGTCAAAACTTTAAGATCAAAACATTAAGATCAGTCAACCGGTGTGCATATGTGTGAGTGTAGTGGCAGCCCAGGCTCTCTTAATTTTTTATTTGATATTTGGAATTGATATTTTTCTCTGTTGATATATATTCACGAATAACTGGAAGTTTACAAAATAATAGTTTATCAGCGATGAATTATGAAATACTGGAGACACTGAATAGCATTGGGTAATTATTATCTAAAATCATTTGAAACGAGAGCAGATTAATTATTCAATTTCTAACTTAGCTATGAAGGAAAACTGTTAGATGAAAACGTTTTTTCCGAAGCAATAAGCGAAGGCTTTGAAAATGAGGATTTTAGAAATCTCATAATATGGATTACAAATGAAATAAGCCTACTTGGGAAATTAGATGAAAAGGTAAGAAATTAAAAAAAATTATGAAATTGAAATTTTATAAAAAATTTTTTTCAGATCACCCACGATTCTGACATCAGCAATTTCAAAATTGAGTTATCTGGCTTTTTAAAAGAACTACAATGTAGTTATGAGGCTCTTTCGAATGACAGTAATATAAACAATCGCATGCAAACGATCGAATCACGTTATCTTCTTATAGAATTTCTAATTGGTGAATTAATGACATTAAAGATGCTTTCAGTAACACAAGTTTCGAAAGATAAAGGCAACGTCATTACAATTGTAAGATAAAAAAGTTCATCAAATTTAATCAAATGAAAAATTTATTTCGTCTTTAGCACGAGTCATCGACAGCTGCAGCATTAAAAGATATCGCAATAACATTAAATCTTGGAAAACCACCTGAAAATATTTCACCAGACGCTTTATTTAATAAAATCTCAACAAAACTTGATGAAACTCTAAAAGTTATTCCCAATTCTGAAAAACGCATTGGAAATGCTTTATTTACTCCTAAAAAACCTTTGAATAATGCGCAATGGATTCAACTAGAGAAAATCCAAGCAGCTCTCGAAGAAGAATACAACATGAGGCGAAAAGTTCTGATGACACGTCTTGACGTCACAATTCAAAGCTTTAAATGGTCAGAAAAAATTAAAGGAAAAGAGAAATTCATCAATGAACGATACATGAACAAGAGTCAAGTGTTGGATAAATTAGCGAAAGGTGGTCAACGTACTGATATTCCGTCATTGTTAGCGGCAAGAGACAAACTCGCTATCATTGAGAAAACTTCAAGTGCGAATGTTCGTAAAAATACTAAAAGCAAACTCCAAAGACACATTATCGGTAAAGTTCCTGATCGAGGAGGGCGAACACTTGAATTGCAACGCCCACCACCTGAAATGCCATCATGGCAAAAGCGACAACCAGGATCAGATAATCGTGGTGGAGGTAGAGGTGGTGGGGGGGGTAATAAAAGAGGAAATTTCAATCAAAACCGTGGAAATTTCAATCAACAAAGCGGCGGGTTTCCACCTCAACAATATCAACAAAAAGCACCTTACAATCCTTCCAATCAACAAAGTTTCGACGACAATTACGAATCTCATAATTCAGGCAATTTCAATAATCGAGGACAAGGATCGCGTGTTCAAGGTGGTTGGAATCAAAGAGGAGGTGGACGTGGTCGTCGCTGAATATTCAAAACTCTTAAAGTCGAGAATTCTTTTCGTTTTTTTATTAAAATAAAGTTTGATGAATTTTAAATGTTACATGTCTTCAGTGGAATAACGATAGGCTTCTTCTTCCATTGATTTCTTTGAATTTACCATGTTGAAATATTTCTTTTCATATCCATTCGATCGATCAACGCCATCCCATCGATAACCGGGACGAATATTAAAGCGATTATCTAAGAATTGTCCTTGGTACTTCGGTTTCTCTTCAACGCCTTTCTTTTTATTTTTGTCCTGCTTCTTTCTTCTCATATATTCAAGCATGGGATCATCAAGACGTTCCTGATCTCGTAAATGATCTTGAAGATCTTGATCATCAGCACTTCGAGCAAGAGGTTTGCTTGCTTCATGCATAAATTCTTGCAATCTTTTCTCTTGATCTTCAATTTGTTTCAATCCTTTTCCCCATCGATCATAAGCTTTCTTTCTTACAGCTTCAGCTTCAGATTTCTTTCGTTCACTCTCAATGTCAAGTTCAAGTTCTTTGTTTCTTCCACGACGATCACGAATCACAATATCAGCATTTCTTCCAGACATTTCAGGTTTCATTTCACGGAATAATTTCTCTTGACGTTCTTTGAATGCGTCGTTCTCCCGTTTTAACGTTTTTGCATCTTGTAAGCCTGAAACTTTTCCATCTAAAGTTTTTGTCATTCGTGATGAACGTGGTGGAGAATTTGTCGGACTTTTCGGTTCCTTTTTAACATCGTGGGACCAACGAGATCGACTTTGTCTGAAAGGACTCACAGAACGATTTCGTTGCCTTCTTAGTGGTGAATTGTCGGTTGAATCCCTTCGTTCTTTTTTCATTTCAGTTTTTATTCGTCTAGGAGGTGAATTGTCACTGCTGGTTCGTCTTTTCCTTGGTGGTGACACATCTGATGATTTTTTACGTTTTCGTGAAGATTTATCGGAACGTCTTGGAGGTGAATTATCTGATGACTGACTCCGTCGATTTAATTTTCTAGGTGGAGATTCATTTGATGAATTTCGACGATTTCTTCCGGATTTTTCATCATTCGTCCTTCGAGGTGGCGATTCATCTGAAGAATATTTTCTTTTAACTTTTTCTTTCTTTGGTTGATTTGGTGAACTTTCATCCTCAGAATGTTTTTGTTTCTTATTAGATTTACTCGATTCCTTGCTGCTCTTTGCATTCGAATTACCAATCTTTTTCCACTTTCCACTATCTTGATACTCTTGCTTCATTAAAACTTCAGGTGCACGTTCATCTATAATGCCAACAATTTGTGGAGCTTCTTCATTGAGAGCAAATAATTCACTTTCATCAATTTGATTATCGTCTTGATTGAAGCCAAAATCATCATCATCTATTATTTTTACTCTGAAAAGTTGACAAACGTTTAAAACATTTTTACTTTTAATTTTTTTTAAAAAAACATACTTTGAACTTCCTAATTTATGCGACTTATCCTTAGATTTTTTCTTTTTCTTTCTAAGTTTATCATCTGAAGAGAGATATTTCTTTAGATAATCTTTTTGACTTATTTTACTCATTTTTGATGCAGAAATTTAATAAAACTTTGTAAACAAACAATTTTGTTCTGAACTGATCTTAAGATCGAATTTCCAGTTAAAAATTACCAAGTTTTCATTTTTCCAATATTTTTTGAATTAGCTTTGTTGAGGACTTTCTTGTTTCCCTTTAAGTTGAAATATATTTTGGAATTCATTCTAAACGGGAAAAATGAAATCTGTGGCAAGTATTGTCATTAATTTACCTATATGTTTTCCGTTTTCATATTAATGTTTATAACGGTTTTTTCTTCTCAAATTCAAACTTTAAAAATACGTTACATTATCACCTGTCAAAGTTAATTTTCTTTAGATTATCAAACAAAAAATCAGATTGTTGTCAAATAAAAAAAATAGATTCAAACTTTTATTTAAATTTTTACATTTTCTGGATCGTTCACAATCATAAGGTAAGCTTGTTATGGATGTAATAGAATTAAGTTTGATTCAAACATTAAATTGAATTATGACGAAAATTAGTTAAACTGTACAAGAAATCTCAAACATGCGATGATCAACGCAAAAACATATCTTAATACTTAACAGTCTCTAAAAAAATAAGGGAATTTATATTTATTACATTGTGAACGGTTCCTTGATAGACATGAAGTTTCCTTCTTTGTACTGTAATGGAAATAAATTTACAAAGAAAAAGTAGTTTGACTTGGAGGACAAAATTCGAAGTACAATTAAACTGGTTCAATAAAATTTACACTCAAGAGATTTTCCAAAAAATAAAGCGCAAAAGTAGTGTCAAATAAAAGAATTTTAATTGTTGAAGTCTCTATTCTGGCTTCACAATACCAAATTCTTTCAATATATCAGCAGCCTCTTCAGGAAATTTCCCAGAATCGATTTCTTGTGCCCATATCTGATATTTCTCTAACTCTGTTCTTAGCTCCAAAACAGCCTTTTCTCTATCGGCGACCAACTCTTCTAAGTATTGATAGCGTAACTTCTTTCTGGCACGACATTCACGTGCGGATTGTCTTGATCTTTCTAATTTAGCTTTCATGTCAACTTTTTCAGGGCCTGATTTTCTTCCCGGTTTTCTTCCACGCTTTCCAGACTCTTTTCTTTCCTATTTAAAAGAAAATAAAATGAACAAAATTACATTTTAAACGTTTTCAATATACACAATCACAATGGTTTTGTTTTCAAATTATTTACGCAACATTTTCGGGTAAAGTATGTATTTGCGGAAAAGTTAGTCGCAAGGAGGTTGAAATGCGACACAAAAACATAGCGTCGACTTGATTTATACGGTGAAATAAGAAAACCGCTAACAGATCCATTCGACAGTTATTTTGTTTTGGCAAACAAACGTTTGCTTTCCTTCTTCTTATACTAAAACTCCTCGTTCGACAGAATATTTTGCAAATATGATTCAGATGCGTAGTATTGTAACTCTCCAACAACGACTTGTGGCCTTTCGTCTTCACTTTGAACGTTTCTTTTCTTTTCATAAAGTCTTAACTCCAGCATTGTGAGAATTAAAAAAAAGAGATATTTTTATTGTATTTTTTTCTACGCAATTGAATTTTCCCATCGCAGTTTAGTGACCGAGTTTTCATGCTATGATTCAAGCCTTCAATGGCAATGTTGTTTTTTTATTATTATTATTATTTATTTGTATAGTCGCAAGTGTACGAATGGTTGCACCTCACATAAAGATTAAAACAGTTGCTGCATAAAAACTACGTCGTAGAAAAAGAGGCAACGAATTGCGCAATGAAATTTTACACTTTTATCAATTTTGAAGCACAAGATAGCGAGAACTCACAGAAATATTTATGAAATCACTAAAAATGTTGCAAATAATCTTATAAAATTAATGATTTTGTCGTTACCAGCCGGCGAATATTATTACGCAGTTCATTTCAACAACTAAATAACAAAGTCAATTTATTTCGTCTCTTTATAACTCAATGCTTGAAATTACGCACCTTGTAATCGATTCGGTTAATTTAGCCCGCTTTCTATTCCATTCAATACTGAATTTGCGATATAAGAATTAATTTATATTATTTCATATGCCGTTTCTTCGTTGGTGAATCTGTGAAATGTTCAGCACATGTAATGCAATAATATCCACTCACGTAGAAAACTTTGTAAGAATAAATGAAAAAATATCCGCTTTATTGCGTTCTATTGAAAATGATAAAAATTTGCTAAAGATGTGAAACAGTGTGCTTTAAATTTTCTGGATGTTTTTAAATATTTCCCAAGAATAATTACAATAAGATAGTAATTTATTCACCATCCAATTCAAAGCCCAAGTCACAACTGAATCAGTTGTACAATTGTAAGAAAAAAATCAACTCTCTCACCCACATAGAGAGTGAGTTTAAGAGAATAAACTTGAAAATATATTGTGAAACGAGTCAAGTGTGAGCATATTGCGAGTCAAGTGTGAAGAAAGCATAAAAGAGAATTCTTCTACGTTTCAATTTAGGTACTTAACAAGAAGTAGACGAAAGAGAAATTTAATATAATTGCGTGGTCGAGAATATTGACTCTATGTCTCGCCAACACTTTTATATTTTTGTTATGACTTATTCTCTTCACCTTTGTTCACACTTCTATTCACACACATATTTTATTTCATTTTTCTTCAAATGTTTTTGTTTTTATTACAAGAGCAATAGGATATGTAAAGTAGCAAACGCAAATAACAAATCACTAGATATTCAATTTCCTACGTATATTATCATTCTCTCAAAATGAATAGAGGCTCTTCCTCTGAATGTTTTGCTATTTTATTTTCTGTAAGTTTGTAAACAAATGATGACGTAATAAGGGAAGAATAATAAATCGCAAAAACAATAATGTGACTCAAGGTCCTCAAAGAATTTTCGGGAACAACATTACCATTTCAAATATTTGAAGACAATTATTTTGTATTACAAGCCACTTTTATTCAGCTTATCTTATTGTATCCAAAATATAGAATAAGAATTTAAGAATTTCACTATTTTAAGAATTTAAATTTTCTCAAAACAAAGAAAAATTTTCGCAGACATTCTTATTATTTTGTTTTTCACCAACTTACCGATTGTAGTGACTCATCTATTACTTCTGTTACTTCGTAGTCCATAGTTGATTACTTTTATTTATAATTTAATAACAAATTTCTTCTTAAAACAATTTTTAATGCAATAATTGTTTATTTTGATTTGTTTTGTTTTGAACTGGTTTTGATCTTAAGATCAAGATCTTAAGATTTGCTTCTCTGTCGCTTCAATACTGCTTCGCTTCATAGATCTTAAATTTTTGTAAACAAACGTTCACATTTGAGAATATTAATTTAAAATGAATTTTCTAAAATCAAATAGATATCGATTTAATAATTTCTCAATCAGGAATCATTCCTCAAAACCACCTTCATCACAATTTATAAGAACTCAATTCTTAGATTTCTTTATTAAGAACAATTCTCATACTTTCGTTAGAAGTTCGTCAGTGATTCCTTTTTGTGACCCCACATTAAGCTTTTGCAATGCTGGAATGAATCAATTTAAGAATATCTTGCTAGGAAAGCAAAAGTCACAATATAATCGAGTTGCAAACTCACAAAAGTGTATTCGTGTAGGCGGAAAACATAACGACTTATCCATAGTTGGAACTGATACTTATCATCACACATTTTTTGAGATGCTGGGAAATTGGTCATTTGGAGATTATTTCAAAAAAGAGGCTTGTGAAATGAGTTGGAAATTGCTAACTGATGTTTATCGAATTCCACCTGAACGACTTTATGTGACTTACTTCAAGGGAGATGATATCTTGGAAATTCCCGCAGATTTAGAATGCAAAGAAATTTGGAGAGAGATCGGAGTGCCCGAAAATCGCATTATTGGCTTTGGTGCTAAGGAAAATTTCTGGGAAATGGGAAGAACTGGTCCATGTGGAGGATGTTCTGAAATTCATCTCGATCATCTGCCCACTTTCAAAACAATTAATAGATCAGAATTAGTCAACAAAGATAGAAATGATCTGACAGAACTTTGGAATATTGTCTTCATAGAGAAAATGAGACATTCTGATGGATCTATAACGACACTTCCAAAGAAACATATTGACACTGGAATGGGATTCGAAAGACTTGTAGCATTTCTTCAAGGAAAGCATAGCAATTATGATTCCGATTTGTTTATGCCAATATTTGAAAAGATTCATCAAGTCACTAAAGCTCCAAACTATTCAGGATCTTTTGAAGGAGAAAACAGAGAACGTGACACTGCCTACAGAATTTTAGCTGATCACAGTCGAATGATTGCAGTTTCTCTTGCTGATGGAATGTTTCCCGAACAAAAGTAAATTTTCTTTTCCATATTTGCTCATTTTCTAATTAAATTTCATTTTTTGGTAGTCATAAACTTCGTAGGATTATCAGAAAATGTATAAATTTCTCGGAAAGTGAATTCAAACATCCAAACTTACTTCCACTTACAATTCCTGTGGTAAGACAAATTCTTGGTGAAACATTTCCGGAACTTGTTAAGAATATGTCGTTTATTGACGAAATTACACGATACGAACAGGAGTTGTATAAATCATTGAGAGAAAGCATGTCGAAGGATGTTAAGGAAATTATTAAGAAAAATCCGAAACTAACAGAACTTGACATATTTAATTATCCTGGTTTTGTCCTCGGATATCAAGATTTCTGTGCTTATAAAAAGAATAACAGCAGTAAAGAAATGTCTGGCGATATTATGTATCAACTCAACACAAATTTTGGATTTGATTTGGAATTAATGGAAAGACTTGCAGAACTTGAAGATATGACAACTGATAAAAATGGATATTTAGATAAATTGGAACAAATGAAGAAGTCTTATTTAGATCTACATCTGACTGATGACGGAAGCATCGCGTTAGACAGTCTTGATTATACAACTGATAATGAAATTAAGTATAATTATTCTTATGATAATGAGCGACAATTATATCGAATACCACCAGTGAAAACTAAAATCCTTTCAATTTTTGATAAAAAAGGAAAAATTGAAAGCACAAAAAATGCTTCAAACAATGTTGTTAAGATAATTGTTGAGAAAAGTCCATTTTATTACGAATCTGGTGGTCAGGAGTCAGATGTCGGATTCATAGTTAAAAACCATAAGCATTTTCAATTAAAATCTGTAAATAATCAAGGAAATTTCATTGTACATAGCATTGAAACAAATCCTGATGAGGTTCTAAATGTTGGTGATGAAGTTGAACTAAATGTTGGTGAAGAAAATCGTTCAGCGTTGATTCGAAATCACTCTGCAACTCACTTGTTGAATGCAGCGATTAGAGATACAACGAGAGTTCCAATTTATCAGAAATCAAGTGTAGTAAATAATCAACATCTTAAATATGAAGTAATTTCTTTTGGTCCTAAAATTAAATCAATTGATCTTGAGAGCTTTGAAAACTTTATAAGAAAATACATAAAAGATCAACCTTTGGAAAGAAAAGTTCGAATTATGAATTCACAAGAACTTCAATGTGAAGATAAAATCGTGATGGTGCCTGGAGAAATTTATCCTGATGATGGAATTCGTCTTGTGACATTTGGAAACGTATCCAAAGAACTTTGTTGTGGAACTCACGTTTTCAACACGAGCGAATTGTTAGATTTTACTTTCTTGAGTATGCTATCAACAGGAAGGAACAGTTACATTTTTAAGGCAGTCACAGGTTCAGGTGCAATTAAGGCCATTGCAATTGGTGATCAACTCGTAAATGAACTTGAAAATCTTCGTGACACTGAAATATCTATACAGAATATTAAAGAAATTTCTTCAAAACTTCGTGATATTTCTATTCAATTGAACAATTCTAATGTTGATATTTCGTTTTTGAAAAAACTCGATTGCCAAGTATTAACAGCTGAGATAAAAGCGGTCATTAAAACAGAAAGTAGAAAAGTCTTGAAAGAACTTTTAGAGAAGGAGATTAAGGAAGCTATAAGTGAAAGTGAAGAAAAGTTTTTTATTGTTCATTTTCTTTCATGTTCCGATCTTATGAAAGGAGTTTCATTAGACAAAGCTACACAATATGTAGATGATCGGCCACTAATTATTATTTCTTATACCGATAATATAGTGAAAGCTGTGAGTTGTGTTCCAAAGCATTTCATAAGTGAATCTTTTGATGCAAATTTATGGATAAAAAATATTAACACAATTTTTAATAGTCACACCTCAACGCCAAAAGGTCAGAATCCCAAGCAAATCACCAACATGAAAGAAAAATTCATACATCCTGAAGTGTTTAAGAATTTAGTTGAAACAGCTTTGTCAGCTGCTAATAAATTTGCAATTGAAAATTATTATGAAAAAGTTCAAAATAGCAAAGCAAATAGAATAGTTTAATTTTAACGGTTATATTAAATTCAAATATTATTATGAACTTAACATTGATGACGATTAAGATCACACCAGTGAGTTGGAATTTTTAAGATCAAACACGAGAGTTGAGCAGTTGTAAAAGTAGAGTCAAAGTAAAACAAAATTAAATAAAAATGGTTCAAGATAAGAAAGCAGCAAGTTTATTCACTAAGGAGGAAGAACTTCTTTTACAGGACTTCAATCGAAATGTATCGACTGGATCGAATTTCTTGTTCTATGGTTCAGCGGCAATCATTTCAACTTTGCCAATTTGTAAGTAAACTTTGTCCACATCATCAGAGAATATTAATGGAATCTGATAAGATTATCTCTTTAAAATGTTTTAATTTTTTTAAAAACCATTAGAAAACTAAAGTTTCATTGATGTTGTGTTATTTTAATCCATATTTTGATTAAAATTACTCTTTTTATCTCTTCAGGGTTATACTGGCGAATCCATCAGATGGAACTTCTTCCCTCGCTTGTTTTCTTCGTTGTGTTCACAGCTTTAAGCACTTATTTGATGTCAATGGCTTATAGAAACACAAAGTTCACATTAAAACATAAAGTTGCTATTAAACGTGAAGATGCAGTTACACGAGAGATGACACAGTTGTTGGCTGATGATAAAATGTCGCGTAAGGAAAAAGATGAACGCATCTTGTGGAAGAAGAACGAAGTTGCTGACTTTGAAGCTACAGTTTTCTCTATCTTCTACAATAACGCAATCTTCCTTGCTATGGTTGTTTTCTTGAGTTTCTACTTGTTCCGTGCAATCTCACCAACATTCAACTACATCATTACAATTGGTGGCACATCCGGATTGTTGGCTCTTCTCTCCACCAGCAAGTCTTCATAAGCTTGAGATTTCTCATCACAATTTTTTTTGTATGTAAGTTCTTTGAGAACAAACTCGATTGATAATTCATCGATCCAAGAAAATAAAACAAAAAATTTTTCCCTTCAAGATTTTGAAATGTTTTTATTCAATTAATTATTCGAGCAGCTGTGTATGTTTCGGTCAAGTTTGTGAAGTTAGTTCAAGTGCGTGTTATTATATTGGTGTCCATTTTTCTGCATCTACAGTTCAATATCAATTTCATTTTCTAACAAATATTCAACATGTGCAGTAAATATCTACTTCAACAGACGTCAATTTTAGCTTCCACTTGGAAAATAACAGTAAAGAAAATTATGCAACTGAAACTACTACGTAAAATACTCGATATGTAATTTCATTTTGTGCAATCGAGAAATATTTTTTTATTAACAGTGAAAGGTATGATCTTGTCGGAGATTAATTAGTTGCACAGGGAAATTATGTTTAATAGGTATGACAAAATGACAAAATATTAATGCATTAACGTCAGAAAACAAATCGAAAAATACGTTTAAACTGAAAGCTTTGAAATTCTTTTGTTGATTAAGAAAAAAAGGTAACGTCGGTTTATACTTGGAATGGTTTGCTTTATTATGTCAAAAACATGCATTGAAATGTAAATGCAAAATTCTTTCTTAATTATTAAATATTTCCTTGAGTTCATCAGATCACTTTATGTCAATGTTTTACCACCATTTTTCAGCTTCAGGTTTTGACCATTCTGGTTTGGGTGCTGGGATTGGGATTTTGTAGTGGGTTGGTTCACGTTTAACTGTGGCTTGGAATCCATGAATGTCATCAGCAGTGTAGTCAACAATGCGTTTGAATCCATCAGAATCGATCAAAGAGTATTGACCTTTGACGGCTCCATTCTTGGCAGTTTCTGATTGTCTCTTAAGGTCGCCAGTCTTTTCATCATGAACTTCATATTTGAAGTCATAATTTGCTGGTGCTTCTGGTTCTTTCCATTCAACTTTCGGTGCCCATGATTCAACCTTTGGTGCCCATGATTCAACCTTTGGTGCCCATGCGTCAACTTTTGGTTCTGGTGCCCAATAAGTTTTATCTTTCCATGACTCTTCTTTTGGTTCCCAAAGAGATGGTGCCCGATATACAACAACTTTTTGGAAACTTGTGGGTATGTTGTAAGCCGATGATGTAGTGAAGATCACAAAAGCGATAAGAAACTGTGAAAAATTTATTTTAATGTTAATCATCACACGTTGACGTCAAAAAAATTTATGACATCTTACTTTGAACATTTTGTTTTATTTTAATTTAATTTTCCTTCGTGTTTTATTCCTTTGAGTGAAAAATGCAACTAATGCAGAATGAGTTTGCAACTGGAGCTTTTATACGATAGTCAGGTAAATGTGTTAACCACCAAGTGGTGAATGAAAATCTTGCGACATCTTAAAATGCACTTGGTCTAATTATTATGTTTTATTTTGCTTCACATCTTGCTTCTCCTACATGGCTTGAATTAGACGTCACATGGCTTCATTACTTTTTGATTTAGATAAAACGTCTGTGATCGTATGGAAATTTCGACTAATGAATAATCAAATGATAAGCGTCAGAAGCTTCTATGATGACAAATTTCATCTCTTGCTGAACTTTCATATAAAAAGATGACATGAAATTCTAATTTCTTCAGTTTTCATAAAATATTTCGAGTGAACATAACAATGAATTTAAATTTCTTGCTCGTCTTTTTGTCTTCTTCAATTTTCATCAACTTTTCAGTTGGTCTTTCAACAAATGAGTTAAGAGAATGGGAAAAGTTTAAAGTGAAATTTGAAAAAAATTACGAACATTCCGAAGAAGATGAAATCAGATCATCATTATGGAAGAAAAACATAGAAGTCGTTAATGGACATAACAGAAAATTCATGCTTGGAAAAGTTTCATATGAAATGGGAATCAATAAATTCTCAGATATGTCAGAAGATGAGCTCAAGCTCTACACGAATTTAAAAATCGAAAAGAAAAACGCAAAATTTGAAAGAAAAGTGACATTTGAACCCACATCGAAAGTGGCTGCTGAACTTGACTGGCGTTCGAGAGGGGTTGTGACTGATGTTAAAGATCAGGGCCAATGTGGTTCATGTTATGCGTTCAGTGTTACAGGAGCTGTAGAAGGTCAACACGCAATTGCGACTGGTAAACTCATATCGCTCTCTGAGCAACAAATTGTCGATTGCACAAGTCGATATTACAACTACGGCTGTGGAGGTGGGTACATGCCATACACTTACAACTACATAAGAGATACTGGTGGACTCGACACTGGAAATTCGTATCCGTATCGTGGTGTACAACAAAGTTGCAGATTTAATAGAAATTCAATCGGTGCGAAAGTTCAAAGTCATGATGAACTTTATCCAACTGAAGACACTTTACTGAAAACTGTTGCATCAGTGGGTCCGGTTTCTGTCGCTATACATGTACAAGGTTCATTCTATAACCATAGAAGTGGAGTTTATGACGATTATTCATGTCAAGCTGTAAATTTAAACCATGCAGTTCTTGTCGTTGGATACGGAACTGAAAATGGAAAAGATTATTGGTTGGTTAAGAACAGCTGGGTGAGTTGAAACAACAGAAAAATATGTAATGAAATTTTAATTATAAATATTTTGGCGAACTAGGGCAAAGGTTGGGGCGAACAAGGATACATAAAAATGGTTCGGAATAAATACAATCAATGCGGAATTGCGAGCTATGCTAGTGTTCCTAGAGGTGTCAGTGACAGTAATAAAAACTGGGTAAGGCATGTCAATGAATCAGCGACGGAAATGTTTGGAGGAATCTTTTGGAACATTAGAATGAGTCAAAACAACATTGATGTTTAATTTTCTATTTTTGTTTTATTATAATATGGCAAGATTAATAAAGTCTATAAAAAAATAAACATTAATAATTGAGTATTTTAATTCCTTGAGTTCACGTTCATCAATTCTCTTTATGTCAATGTTTCACCACCATTTTTCAGCTTCAGGTTTCGACCATTCTGGTTTTGGAGCTGGGATTGGGATTTTGTAGTGGGTTGGTTCACGTTTGACTGTGGCTTGGAATCCATGAATGTCATCAGCAGTGTAGTCAACAATGCGTTTGAATCCATCAGAATCGATCAAAGAGTATTGACCTTTGACGGCTCCATTCTTGGCAGTTTCTGATTGTCTCTTAAGGTCGCCAGTCTTTTCATCATGAACTTCATATTTGAAGTCATAATTTGCTGGTGCTTCTTTATATTCCCATCCGGTGGATTCTTTCGGTGCCCATGATTCAGATTTTGGTTCGTCATATTTTTTATATTCAATTGGATGATAAACTTTGAAGTTGTAATCAATTGGAATGAGATGTGCAAGTGACGCACCAATGATAGCAAAGAATACGAGTTGCTGAAATAAATTAAACTTCATGATGATTTTTATTATCTAAAATTTAGGTTGAACTCACTTTGAACATTTTTAAATTATTTTTTCTTTTAATGTTTTCCTAATGCAAGTGCAAGATTAACTGATACTAATTATAACAAATTCCAACGTTTTTATACATAAATTCATTACATATTTCTCTCAATATTTTACTGATTAATGAATGTCACCAACCCGGTAGTTAAATGCAAATTTAAAGTTCGTTTTGCACATTTCTTTGCCGTCAAACGTGCTTTTTCAAAAAACGAAGCGCACTTGAACCAATTTTTATCGGTTTGCTATATAAGTTTCGCCTTTTTACAATTCACTATTTGCACATGTTTGGCATGCTGCAATAAATAAGAGAAAGAAATGTATTTACTTCTTACTTCTTGCATTTCAAAAATGCACATAAACGATTGAAATTATTTAACTATAAAAATACCTTAGTAGATATCTACTACAAATTTTACCAACCAATTGGTTTTAAGCTGTCAAATTTAATTTAATATCGCTGAAGAAAGAAAAATTGCGCAAATTTAATATAAAAATTCTTTTAATATCGTCAATCAAATACAGAACTGTAGACAGATTGCGAATATTGCTTAATGAAGGCGTTGGAAGATTGAATTTTATGCAATTACTCAAATAATACTTTTTATTTTTTATAAACTGACAGCTGAGTGGTCGAAGTGCATTAAAAGAAGTTTCTGGTTGATATTTATTGAAATGGCAAACCACATAAAATTTAACTGAAGAATTTTCAAATTTCGATCTTTTCTGATCTTCTCTGATCTTCTTTTTTCTACCAAAACATTCAACTCAATTCTTAAGCAAAACAAAATTTTTGGTCATGAAAGAAAAACAATTTTTGTAAATTAAAAGAACATTTTTCATGATGGGGAAAGTTCTTTTTCTATTATTTCTTACATTTTCTTTATCCTCATCGTGGGTTCATGATGGAAGAATTATTGGATTTGAGTTAGTTCGTGATGCTGTTTTACCTGTGAATTATTTTTTTGTGCAACTTGTTGATGTTTATGGAAGGAAGTAAGTGAGGATGAGAAAATTTTGTTTCTTCTTTTTATTGATGTTTAATTATTTTTAACAGCTTCACAAACATCAACGACAATCATAAAAATCTTCTTAAATTTGAAATCAGTGATCATTGTAAAAGATATTCACAAGATTTGATTCACACCGGCGATGGACTTTTTATCGTAAGATTAAGAAATTTCGAAGAATGTCACAATATTCAACTTACCATTAAATATGATAATCGACATTTAAATGGATCACCTTTTTGTTTGAAAGATGTAATTCCTGAGCAATGTGAATGTCCAAGAAATATGAACAAAGTTATGAATGCAATGAAATGTCCATCATTTAATCGTCAAATTAATCATGATCTGAAACCTTTTCCACAAGTCAACTTCACAAAAATTAAAGCTCAAGTTCTTAAACAATTTCAAAACTTTAAAAGCTCATCACTTTGCAATTATTTGGTGAAGAGAAATAAAATTTATAGAAAGTGTTATGGACAATATACGGGGTTTAGTATGTTTATGGATAATATGCTTGTGTCTCTTACAAACAAAGTTTATTTACCTGATTTCGAATTCTTCATTAATCTTGGCGATTGGCCATTAATCCGTAAATCAGCTCACAACATTCCAATCTTCTCGTGGTGTAGTTCAATTGATAACATGGATATTGTGTTACCAACATATGATTTAACTGAATCGATCCTTCACATGTTTTACCGAGTGACACTTGACACCCTCTCAATACAAAAAGAACAATGGAAATGGAAGGAAAAGATTGAAAAAGCTTTCTTCAGGGGACGAGATTCAAGGCGAGAACGGCTCGAACTTATTGACATATCACGAACTCATCCTGATCTTTTGAATGCTTCGATCACAAATTTCTTCTTTTTTACAAAAGAAATTCATAAATATGGACCCAAAGTTGGTCACATTCCATTCACTGACTTCTTTGAATACAAATACCAAGTAAACATGGACGGAACTGTTGCTGCTTATCGTTTGCCTTATCTTTTAGCAGGCAATTCAGTTGTCTTGAAACAAGAATCACCATATTATGAACATTTCTATCGTGATTTGATTCCTTTCAAGCATTTCATTCCATTTCATCGTGATCCAAAGTTGGATTTAGTGGAAAAGATTCGATGGTTAAAGAAACATGACAAGCAAGCTCAACAAATTACGAAGAATGCGAGAGATTTTGTACGTGAAAATCTTTTACCATCAAACATCTTTTGCTACTATTTGATGCTGTTCAAGGTAAACGCTTCCAATCATTCATTGCTATTAAATGTTTAAGAAAAATAAAATCTTTTCACAGAATTATTCCGAGAGAATCGTCAGTCCCATTGAAGTGTCAGAAGACATGGAGAAAGTCGACACAAAATCTTGGAAATGCAGTTGCACTAAGAATAAAATTAATTAAACATTTTATGTTACCTTTAAGAAATGATTTTAGTTTCTGTGATGTTTACAATGAAATAGAAAAATATTTTTGGAATAAAACAAATTTAGATTTTGAGATTAAAAAAAATCCTTTCACAATTTTATTTGACTTAAGTTTGATGGCATCAAAACTTATTCACTAAATGGCATGAGCCATAGCATGAGAACTTTGCTTTTATTTACAGAAACCTGAAGCGTATGGATGGAGTTTTATCACGGAATTACCACCAATGAGCGGTTTTGGGTTCTTCGTATTTAGGAGCTGGGATTGGGATTTTGTAGTGGGTTGGTTCACGTTTGACTGTGGCTTGGAATCCATGAATGTCATCAGCAGTGTAGTCAACAATGCGTTTGAATCCATCAGAATCGATCAAAGAGTATTGACCTTTGACGGCTCCATTCTTGGCAGTTTCTGATTGTCTCTTAAGGTCGCCAGTCTTTTCATCATGAACTTCATATTTGAAGTCATAATTTGCTGGTGCTTCTGGTTCTTTCCATTCAGCTTTTGGTGCCCATGATTCCCATCCGGCAGCTGCTTTTGGTGCCCATTCTGCTTTTGGTGCCCATTCGGTTTTTGGTGCCCATTCGGTTTTTGGTTCGTATTTAATATATTCGACTGGGTGAAGGGCTGTGAATTTATATCCACTTGGGATGAGATGTGCTGATGACACAGCGACAATAGCAAACAACAAGACGATCTATTCAAAAGAAAATAAATTGAATTATTTCTTCCTGGTTTAAATTCTTTTAAGAATTTTTACCTTCATCATGATTTCTTGATAATTTATGTTTTATTTTTCTGTTAGTTTCTTATTAGAAAATTGGCAGTGAACTGATGTTGATTTAACCGAGAACTATCGTTTTTATACTGAATTGCCGCTTTGTTTAGCCACACATTAATACCATACTATAAACTATTGCTCCAATTCTCCTTTCTCCTACTCCCCGAAAACAAAAATAAAATAACAAAAAATCTTGCAACACGTTAGAGACACGCTGCAGATTTTTATTTTCTCGTTTTATACGTCAGTATGGCTACAAGATTTCGAGATTTGGAGAAACATTTCAGTTTGCAATTGCAAGAGAGAGAGAGAGAAACAGCAATTTAATATCGTTATTAAACTTCAGCTCAAGTTATATGCGGTCTTGGTTTGTTGAGAGATTAGGAAATCATAGTTTGTAGTTAATTGATGAATTCCTTCGACGCGGTGTCCTTGTCAACCAATTACAACTTAATTAATTCAAACAAATTCAATCGGTAATCAACATAAATGGAAATTAAGTGGAATTTTTATTGTTGCGCAAATTAAAATATATTTAAAATATTTGTAGATATCAATTTAATGATTGTACAGTAATTAAGAATAATTTTGCACTTAATATTTTATTAAAGCTTATTATCTAAAGAAAAATTAACGAAAATTTCTTATTTTAAGCTCTTTTCGTGTTCTTTGCAATCCATGGAAGAAATCTGAAAGGAAATGATTGAAAAACAATTTTATAAAAGTTTTCATTGTGAAAAGTTTAAGATTCATACGAGGTCACTCGAGTGTAGACTCCAGGATATTGTCCCTTCCCACAACCAATTCCTAAATAATTAAAAGCATATAAAAAATGATTAAAGAATTCTATAAAATTCGTTACCCCAGGAAACAACACCAACTTGTGTCCATTTTCCATCGTTGATAACCAATGGACCTGAAATTATCTCGAAAGTAAAAGTGAAATTATTATTAAAAGTAAATCTTAGTGATATTGTCACCTCCTGAATCACCAGAACAACTATCTTTACGTGCTTGACCTGCACAAATCATTGATTCAATAATTCCGCCAGGTGCTTTAATTAAAAGAAAAAAATAATTCATTTGAGTTCATTGACATTGTTAGTGACATTTTTTACCTGCCGGTCCATATTTTGCTTTACATTCGGCATTCGTCCATATCGGAAGATTCACTTCTTGTAAAACTGACGGTTGTGGTCCATTCTCTCTCAAACTTCCCCATCCAACAACAGTACCAGATAAACCATGAAATTGTCGCGAACCTGATAGCGGAAGGCAAACTGGTTTGACACTTTTTGAAAACGGAACTCTTTGATCAAGTGTAAGAATTGCAATGTCATTGTAAAGTGTACGAGAATCAAATCCTTTATGACGAACAACTCTTTTAACTTTTCGTTCGATATGTTTTACTTCAGTGCTTATCCTAATGTTGTGATCACCAAGACGAACTGTTAGTCTTGCAACATCCCACGAACTCATACTGAAAAATCCATAAAGAGAAACATAAATAATGAAAATTTATTTTCATGATAATCTTGAACTCACTGTGCGACGCAATGCGCTGCAGACAAAATCTGAAACCCAATAATTTTCAAGACTTTACGATTTATTGAACAACATTTTATGTTTGATATCTTTTTCCTATTTACTCACATGTATATCGTCAATTAAACTTCCACCGCAAAATTGTCTGCCGCCATTAAATAAAACTGCAACCCATGGCCATTCATTCGGATCAGCATTTTGACCACCAACGATTCGTTCTTGATCTTGAAATCCATTCTTGGCTCCACAACTTTCACTTACACCAAAATCAACTTCATTATTCAATACTGAATCAGTTGTGACGATTAATGATGGTCGTTTAGTGGTCGATTGGCCAGGAACAGCGAAAATTGGTTGTTGTGGTTGTTGCCAAATATTCGGTGGTTTTGTCGCCCAAGTTGTTGTGAATCTTCTCGTAGTTGTCGATGGTTTCGATGTTGTAACAGATTGAATTCCAAAGATTCCGGGTGGATGAGTTGCCGGTGTGTGATTTGGTGGATGTGTAGGAATTGGTGGCGGCCAACTGCCGAAATTCTGATTACTTTGAATCACCGGCACTTCGACTTTATTCTGTTCATTATCTTCACCTTGAACTGATGGAATTGAAGGTAATATTGGATTGGTGCAGCAAACTCCATGAGCTTCTCTTCCATCATCGGTGTAATATGAACAAGTATCTTGATTACCCAACACCCAAGTATCCCAAGCATTCAATACCGGATATCTAGCGTTAGCTGGAGGGTGTTTAAAGAATGGATAACATTTGCGAAACGATTGACATGATCCAAGAATCCCTCTTGACGTAATACAAGTGTAGCCTTCTCCACCAGCCCAACTCGCACGAACAAAAGTATTTGGTGAAGAATAAATTAATTGTCTTCCTTTACGAGATAAAGTTTCATCAGTGTCGTCTAATGCTGGAAAGTTTTTTAAGAAAAAGTGAAATAATTTCATAGAAATGTAAGCTGCAATTTGTAAGTTATGTTAAAATCATGTCGTATTATGTCAATAAACATTACAACAGAATCGTAACTCATGCTGCTAATTACTGACTCATACCGCATCATTATATTTACGCGTAAATATTTAATAAAAATCTAATTAAGAGACCATAAAAATATGCAAAACGAAATTTTGTTATGCATGTTTAACAACTGTTAAATTATAGTCTTTAAGATAATTTTTCTTTCTTTTGCATGTTCATTCATAGGCTCGTCAGATTATTTACGATTATTGCAACCTGTTCACACACTCAATTTCATTCTGACCATGTTTATCGCGTCGACTCTTTTCTCCACTTGTTCTTGTCAACAATTGAAAGTGACGAGTTGTAACATGCGTAATTTAATCGTGAACATAACACTTATAGCACATTAACACCCACATCAATTACACGAGTGATCATAGCATAAGCAAAGTAGAGGTAAGAAATCTTCCAAGGTCGAGTGATAAGCGAAAGAAGAATGTTAACGATCACGACTTATTTAAAATGCACATCATGTCGTAGCATTTATTTACATAAATTGTATTGCCTTCTAGCATTACTAAAATGTTGATTCTTATGACGAAATTATTGTCAGATACAAGTTTTATCTTTCATTGTCTATGTCAAGTAGAGCAGAGGTTGTTGGCCCCCAAAAAATATTTTTTGAGTCTTTGGTTTATTAATTATTTTCATAATAAATGTTGATGACGAAATGCGAAACACATTGAATTAAAATCATAAAAAATAATTAAAAACAAAAATCATTTCCATTTGACACAAACAAATTTGTCATTGCATTGAATCAAAATGTTTTATTTTGTTGATTTGATATGAACACAATCTGAATCGTTGATAGAATTTTTACGATTCCTTTATGAGCTCATTGGAATATTCAAATGTTGGTATTCAATAAATAAAACCGTAATTGTATAGTAAGAATTTTTAAATTCTTTAAAGTTTCTGGTAGACTTAGACTTGGTCATACTTTCTTTCGTCGGTCATGCTTCGCATCGAAAGATAAATAATCGGAAATGTTTGTTTATTGCACAATAATTATTTGACTACTTTTTTTTTATTCACACCTTCAACAGTCACAGAATCATCAGAAATATTTTCTAATCCTTGTGAATAGTTTATAACTAAAACCACCAAAGCAACAACCAAAATATGCAAAATTCGCATTTTATTTCCACCCGAAACTCGCGTCGCTTTAATTTGAGCTTTCACCGATCGATATTTTTAAAGTAAACTGCAGAAACGGAGCTCTTCATTGGGTTCTTTTATATACGTGCTTCGTAATTACTTCACCATCCCCACTCAATACTCAAGAACTTCTTCCATTACTCTAAAATTTAATGGTCGTAGTGATTGGAATGAACAAACACTTAATCTTCTTCACAATAATTCAACAGTTGTCGCTCAATTGGAAGACGAAACAATGTATCGGAAAGGAGTTGAACATTTATTGAGGGGAAAAGAGAATCATCAGACATTCCATTTCACGCTCAACGTCAATTTCTTGAGGACTCATTTGCATAAATCTTTTTTGATTAATTCTTATTTGATCTGATTCTAATGGAATCTACTCAAAGGTGTAAAGAATTACGCTGGAAACTTTTTTTTTCTTTTATTCTTCGTGCGAAGAGATTAATTTGGCGGTCGATTCAACGATCAACATCACAACGCATTTGAGAGATCAACGAATTGTTTTACTTTATAATTCTTTAAGTCTCAAATAAATTTCACTCACATGTCATTCGTCAGTTCTTATATTAATGTTCTGTCTCGCTATTAAATTTGCGATGATTAATTCAAATGATTCAAATGCCATATAGAAATGAAACACGGGTTAATGTTCGCTAAGCGAATTATTAATAAAAACAAAGGATTTTGGGAAATTACTGAATTAAAATCAATTGAATTTTAATTCTCGAGTGAATGAAGTGAGTAACAGTGAGGTTGATATGTTCACATCAATATTTAATTTGATGGAATGAGGTAATTGAAGAATGTTTCATTTATGGAAACACTTCATGATTAATTACTTCACTTTGAGTTCGTCAATAGTGTTATCAGCAGTCTGTAATCTGATTTCACTTATGAAGCTTTTCATTTCATTAAATAATCCACTTAAATATGATTTGCATATCTGTAAAGAATATTTTTTCAGCACTTGACAAATCACAAGTGTCGGAAGATAAAAAGATATAAAAAATTGTTCAAACATTAACTTTGAAAATTATAAGAAATTTTGAACTTATCATTTATCTCAAGTGATGAATTATCGCTTTTTCATTCTCATTCCTTCAAATGATAAACGAATCGTTTATTAGTTGAAGTTGTGACTTTACTTAATTAAGATGTTGATTAAAATTGCTTTGCTTTTTATTTCTGTGGGTTCAGCTGCAGCAGCTTTGAAGAATCCAAGAAAATTGTATCGTGAAAACGACGATGAAAGTTTGCTTCCTTCACTATACACAGATCCAATAGATGGAATTGATTATCGTCTGCCAAACAATACAATTCCACGCCATTATGACATTTGGTTGTCTACTGATATTCATGAAGGTGAATTTGACTTTGAAGGCATAGCAACCATTCAAATAGAAGCTTTAGAAGATACTCAAGAAATTACACTTCAAATACGAGAACTCACGATATTAAATGTGAAACTTATGAGATCAACTGGTGGAAGTATTCAGTCGAATGTTCCCTTCAGAATACGAGACGATGTCGAGTTTCTTATCATAACGCCAAGTCAACAGTTGATTAAGGAAACAATTTATTTAGTGGAAATTAAGTACATTGGCACTTTAAGAGACGACGATGCTGGTTTTTATAGATCATCATATATTGATGAGACTGGAAATGTTAAATGGTTAGCGACAACACAGTTTGAATCGACAGATGCTCGTCATGCATTTCCATGTTACGATGAACCAGGTATAAGATCGTCTTTCTCCATCTCTATTAGACATGATGTAAGCTACACAGCAATATCAAATGGCCCACAAGAATCACGAGTGCCTGATGGTGGAAATTATGTTGTAACGACATTCAAAACAATTCCATCAGTTCAAAGTTATCTCATTGCCTTCATTGTATCCGACTTTGCCTACATTGAAAACAATGATGGATCAGTTCCCCATCGGATATTCGCCAAATCAGAATCGATCAAAGCTGGAGATGCTGACTTGGCTCTAACTGCATCAGTTTATCTTCTTGAAAAGTTCGAAGAATATGTCAATATTAGTTATTCTTTGGATAAAATGGATCAAGCCGCAATGCCAGATTTTGCTGCTGGTAAATAATCTTTAATAACATTTATTTCAATGAAATAATATTTATTTATTTATTTAAAAGGTGCTATGGAGAACTGGGGACTCGTCACTTATCGAGAACCTTATCTTCTCTTCAATGAAATAACTGGAAGGGCACGAGACAGAGAAAATGTGATTGCGACAATCTCTCATGAATTTGCAGTAAGTTTTATACGATTTCAAAATTTTTATTGATCTATAAAAGTTATTAATCAAGTGGATTAATGTTTAAATATAAACTTGAGATAAGATTTATTTTACACTTAAACTCTTTACATGTGTTGTGTAGATATTTGAAAATCTAAAAATATTTTAGCATCAATGGTTTGGAAATCTTGTAAGCCCGGCGTGGTGGAGTTATTTATGGTTGAACGAAGGTTTTGCTACTCTTTATGAAAATCATTTAACACATTTGGCTTATCCTAATGAAAGATGGATTGACACGTTTTTAGTTGAGACTGTTCAACCAGTTTTAGAGGTGGATGCTAATCCTAACATTCGACCGATGACTTATTATGTTGAAAATCCTATCAGAATTGATTTTCTTTTTGATAGCGTTGCATACAGCAAATGTAAGTTAATTAATTTGAATCTTCAAACCAAGAAAATAACTTCGAATTTCACTTACAGCTGGAAGTGTATTAAAAATGTTTCAATATGCTTTTGGTGAAGAAACATGGCGAAAAGGTCTTAATTATTACCTAATTGCTCGAGCTTATAACAATGGAGCACCAGAACACTTGCATGAGAATTTGCAACGTGCAGTTAATGAAGATAATTTAGGAAGTGACATAAATGTTGATGTTATTATGTCATCGTGGGAAACACAATCAGGATTTCCTTACATAACAGTCGTAAGGAATGACAATGAATTGACTTTTTCGCAGTCTCGATTCATGTACACAAATCAAGATTCAGAGAATCTTTGGTGGGTGCCAATAAATTACGTCGTTGCTTCCAATCCAGATTTCTCAAACACCAAACCTGACTTTTGGTTGGAAGGAACACAACAAAATGTTTCACTTCGAGGCTTTTCAATCCCAAAACCTTTCACTAATAACGATTGGATCATCGTTAACATTCAACAAACTGGATATTATCGTGTGTTATATGATAGAACTTTGTGGGACTTAATTTTGCAAGAATTGCATCCTTATGGAAATGGATATGAAAAAATTCATTTATTCAATCGAGCTCAACTTATTGACGACTCATTTCATTTTGCACGAGCTGAGTTACTTGATTACGATGTATTTTTAGGTGTCATGCGGTATATGGAGAAGGAAACAGATTACATACCGTGGGCAAGTGCGAATCGTGCAAATAATTTGATGAGTCGATGGTTATCAGGTTCATCAGCATATCCCCGATATCAATCATTTATGCGGAATTTAGTAGAAAAAGTATATAATAAATATGGCGTGAATATTATTGACGGTGAGCAGAGAGTTGATCGATATGTCCGTGCTATTGCTATAAATCTTGCATGTCAAGCTCAACTGCCATCATGTTTAACAGACACTGCAAATTTACTTGAGAATGTATTGAGAGAAGATTCTATCATGGCTCCTGATTTAGTCGCACCGATTTATTGTAATGGCATGCGGTTGAGAACAAATTTGAGTGCGAGGTTCATATTTATGTTGTCGAGACTTTCAAATTCAAATTCACCATCAGAGAGGAATTCAATCATCACAGGATTAGGTTGCACTGAAAACCCGGAGACTTTAACAAATATCTTACTCTGGGCCCTCGATCCAAATAATGACAATTTATCGGTAACTGAAAGATCTCGATTACTGTTATCACCTATCAACATGGGAGAAGAATCGATTCAAGTTCTCATTTCCATCTTGGCTTCTCAAAGGGAAGAATTAATACAATTTAACTTATTAACAACTCTTTGTTCAAACATTGCTGCAAGAATACATTCCGAAAGAAGTAACACTCTATTCATGTCACAATTAATTGATTTACAATTTATCGGAGCTTTGTCAATGTCACAAGTTAATAATTACATGAACAATGCATTGACAATATTAAATTGGCAAGAAAATAAATTAAAGTCAATTGATGAATTTTTTGATCTTGTCGAGTTGCAAGCTACAACAACGACCGAATTGGAGACAACTCCAACGACAACAGAACAAATAACTCCAACGACAACAACAGAACAAACAACTACGACAGATTCGGGCGCTATGAATATGGTTTTAGGTGGAATTGTTTTGAAATTCGCTATTTTAATTAGTTTTCTGTTGTAAAATGAAATGAAGTTGAGACAGAATTCACAGGAATAAGCAGATATGTGTTATTACTATTTTCTGTTAATAACTCATTAAATGTTTCATGCCTTTCCTATTATTTCATATTTTATTGTGCTTTGTCGGTGATTAAATGAATAAAGAAAATTATCTAAAAAAAACTTTAATTCTACTGAATTTTATCTCAAACGCATGTAATGATTTTAAGAAGTTTTGATTGATGAGTTCTTAAGTAAGATTAACTTTTGTAGACTGAGTTAAATTTGTTATCAAATTTTGATTTTGTTGGGAGCAATATTAGACAATTTACAGCATTTGTTGCAATGAATGTTTTCTTTCATAAAACGTGTTCGAAGAATTATTTTTATCGCTATTGTGAGGAGAAAGAAACATTTCTTGTTAAACAAATTTCATGCGTGTTTATGAAAAGGTCAATTTTTAATCTCAACACCATCAACAAGTGGAAAAGTTATTTTTATGCATTTCTAGTAAGTTTCTCTTCAGTTTTCAATGCATTGACTCATTCTTAGTGTTTACTGATTTTTCAAACGAATTTATCTTCAACCAAAAGCAAGACCACATCTCAAATGCATTAATTAGTTTAGTGAAAAATTATTGCAACAATGGGAGATTTCAAGGGAGATTTGATATTGTTTGTGTCTCAGAAGGTAAGTTTAATTTTAATCTTATTATAAATGGCATCATGAGAACAATAAATCAGACAGTTCAACTAAGCTGCAACCAAATTAAGTTATAAAGACAGAAGAATCAATCATTTTTGTATTTGAGAACGATGATGCATTTGTTCATTATGTGCGCTTCATATGCTTTGAAGGCAATAGAGAGAAATACTAATTTGATATTTTAAGTATCGAACATGTCGATAAGGAAGATTAAATCGATTCGATACATGAGTTGGTTTCGTTGACTGAGACTTCAAACTTTTCTTATTGAAGTAAAAAGAATTCCGATATTAAAGTCATTAAGTAGACTTCATCCTCCAAGGTTTAGGAAATTGAAATTTTAAACAATTATTAAATGAATTGGAAAGAAATTGAAATAGCAGACTTCGCAATATTTTATGGCAATTGTAAAAAAAACGCAGTTCATTGATAAGAAGATAAAAATTATTCAATTAATTATTTTTATTATTATTACATTATCCATTATCGAAATAAAAAAGCAAAAGCTTGTAATCTTTGTAAAACTTGTAAAATTTTTAGATTTTATTAATTAGCTGATTAAGTGAATATTAATTTTCGAAACTATCTAGTCCATTATCGAAGATAAAATTGATAATATTTGATTATACTTTAATGTTAAAAGTGTTTTGCCTTTATCAATCAACAAAAAGTTAACAAAGTCAAGCTTAAGGTTTATGAAAGCAGAAGTATTGTTGATGCAACATGTTGCTTAAATGTAACGAAAATTAATATTTTTATGAAACAAGAACAAGATACTCACATCAGAATGCAATAAGTGGTATTTGAAACGTGTTTCCATTAATTCATTCAAAACTTTTGTATCCAACATAAGAATCAATTTGGAGCATCACCTAAGGACAGCAAGAAAAATTATTTAAAGCTCAAAATCTTTACAAAAAGGGTATCGATGAATTTCGAAATCATTTATGTATATTTAACAGTCACCGTAAGATAAAGATTTGCATTCGAGGTTTCCGAAAAAATTAAAAATTAATAAAGAAAACTAGTAACAACTTCAACAATTCATTGAATGATTCAAATACCTAAATCACTTATTTATTAGGTAGGTAGTTTTTTGGTTTCTTTAAGGTCAAGAAAGAAAAATGAAAGCACACGATAAATTTGAATTGAATGTTAAGAATGATTGTACGAAAGCCTTCATGTCCGCATTATTCGACTGCGGACATGGACATAAAAGAGTACAAGTTAGGTGCAATTGGCGAGATTTTACCATGGGGAAGGACCTTGTATTAAACTTACATACCACATGTGAAATATGCAAGGCAAAACTTGCAGGAGATCAAATTCCTTCCCGTGAGCGCCAAAATACGGAAAATATTCAGAGCAGCCTTGAACTACCTCAATATTCCAGAAATGTAACAATTTATTGTAAATTAAATTATAACTTTTTTTTAATCAATCCCTTTCTTTTCAGACTCTTGATGTGGAACCCAACGAAGGACATACAGAACAATCAAAATCTTATGTAAGTATAATAAAATGTTATACACTAATAAGCATGAGGTAGTGTTGGAAAAATGTGTCAACACAGGTTAGCTTTTTACTGTGTTCCTATTTCAAAAAACATATTTTTTAAGGTTTCACAAATTCGTTCGATGTTGTTGGAAAACAGCTCCAACATAATTGACGACGCCATTCAAAACTGTGCAGCAAAGTGAAGGAGATTTTGCCTTTAATATGTCTCTGCAGCTACTCTATGCAGGAAACAAATTACGCAACATGGCATTCGAGGTGTCAGAAAAGATTAAAAATGAAATGAGCTCTGAAGCTGATGCAGCTGCTTCTACCAACCAAACAGTTGACCATTAATATTAAAAAAAATTGTTTCTTTTGTTGGACGACTTTAAAAGAATTC